ACGGAACACTCACTGTTAGTGTCGCTACAGTGGGATCAGCCCTACTGTTAGTTGAGCAGTCGGCTCGAAATCGGGCTGACGCGAAAGAGCATCAGCGACGACATTAAGTCGTCCTGGTTTATACTCGACGGAGTAGTTGTACTCCGCAAAGAAAGACAGCCACCTCTCCATCCGTTGCGAGAGGTGTGGACTGTTTACGGCCGTTCGTAATGACGCATGGTCGGTATAAACAATAAATGGCCTATCTCTTAAGATATATACCCGAAACTTAGCCAGTGCATTTTTCATGGCAAGGAGTTCCATGCACCGGGTAATTACGCTCAGCTGCTTGTGGCTGACGCGATTGATAGCTGACGACGCGCTCAACGCCGTCTGAGTCGTACTGCATTAACGCGCAGCCGATCGCAAAATCGCTGGCGTCACAGACCACATGAAATGGTCTGTCCTGGTCTGCAATCGCCAACACAGGCGATTACATCAAGCTTTTCTTGATACCTTCATAAGAGTGCTGACACTCAGCGCTTCATGACCACCTCTCGTCTTTCTTTAGCATGCGAGAGAGATTTACGGTCATCTCGGCGTAGCTGCGCGAGTACTTATGCAAGTACGCCGCCAAGCCAAGGAATTTTCGAAGTCCCTTGACGTCGACTGGCACAGGGCCAGTCGCTAATCGCCTTAATCTTTTCCTGATCAGGGTGTACACCGTATTTATCCAAGATGCTTCCAAGAAGTGGTATTTCTCTAGCAGCGCATGCTAAGCACCTTGAGACTGGCATACAACTTATGATCACGCATAAGTGTAAGAACCTTCCGGACGTGGATTCTAAAACCTTTACGTCCGTCTTTCCATCCATAGCCCGGCGATGGACGAAGAAATTGTCGAAGTAACTCGGTCCGAAGTCGCGCACCGATCGCAACAGATTCGTAACTCATATGTTAAAAGTTGCGGGGGCGTTACTTAGCCCAAGTGGCATCACTAGCCACTCCCAGAGCATACCACTGGGGGTGCTCACTGCTGTGTACGGGATGTCCCGTTCACGCGTGAGGATATAATAGAATCCATCCATCAGATCCATGGACGAAAAGATGGTATACCATCTATGATGACGTCCTTCCTTGGAAATGGCGTTTGAGCCGGTACCGTGGAAGCGTTCAATTTGTTGAACGCGTGTACTATCCGCCACCCTCCTGTGTTTTTTGCGCACAGAAGGTCGGAGAGCTGTGTGGGGAAGTTGATTCCCTCACGTGACCAGCCTCTAAGCAATCGGCAAAGAATTTGTCGATCGCAAGTACTTGTTCACGAGGCAGTGGCCACTGCTTCATGACACAGTACTTCGAACCAGGTTTCAGTTCGATCTCATGCCGAGTGCCTTTGTCCTCAGTCAACTCGCATGGAACGGAAAATCCCTGAATTATACCGAATTCTCATACAAAGATTTTGTCTTCAAAGACTCCCAAGATTAAGACGTGTATCGCTCAATCCGAGTCTTCACATCGAGGACACTCTCGTTCATCGATGAGCTACTGAGAACCCGTTCCTTCTCAGCAAACACTTGTGCCGAGCGAATATCGGCAACGCACTCTTCCTCTGTGACGAGTACGCAGATCTGCTTGATCTTGTCACTACGCAGATCTCACAAGAATCTTCTAGATTCTAGCGTTGGCAACTTGATTACCTCCGAAGCTGACTTCGGGGGTGTAACCAGATCAAGTGTATAAGCGCCTAGACTCCATCCATCATTCACCAAGACATTCACTGACTCGGTGATTTCCTGGGAAAACATATTTGCAGATAGTTGGGAATCCACACCCTCAACATAAATCTCTCGGGAGTTATTACTCTCAGAAACGCTAGAACCTTCTTCCAATACGTGTATTGATTGTGGGTGTACTACCACAGTCAGGTGTTCTTCATTAGACACTATTTTAATCGATCGTATTTGCTTTACGATTGAATCTCTGTTAGTCGATCTCGCTTTAACGTATTGTTCATCCTGAACAACACTAATATCTCTTCTTGGATGCACCCTTCTTGGTGTGCATCAGTGTTTCAGTCCACTCGATCCCTTCGAGCGGTGAACCTTTGGTGCAGCCTGTGTTTCTACACAGGTGCCGGAAGCTGGTTCCACAGGGTAGTGGCCTTCTACACTGAAATCTTGTGCAGTCATACTAACGACCGTACCACAAGTGAGGCCATCGCACTCACTCGTAGTACATCCACACGCTTGTAGGATCTCCAAGACGTCCATCAGAAGGCCATCTGATGAACAAACGGCAGGCATCTTCACGGATCGATGCTACCAGCTGATCCATGGCTGGTGTTTTCTAAGCCACGGCAGACCGAGGATGACATCACATTTGTCATCTAGATCCACTACGATAAAGTCATCATCGTACTGTCTTCATTCTAGCGTGTGGTGGATTCCCACCACACGTTTGTTTACTGTTACGGATGCGCCTGTAGCAAGGCACACCGTCATCCTCGTTGGAGGGAACTCTCGCTCAACACAGTTGGGTCCACTATCTTCTAGCGACTAGCGTCAAATAAAACTGCTCGACACCCCATAGTCAAATAGAACGCGAAGAGACATTTCAATTGTCACTTCGATCTTCGAAGTGATGAGAGAATCCTCATCACTAGGGGCAGTAACACACAGTGACTGTGTGTTGGGAGAAATCTTCGTCAAGAGTCCTACAAATTCTCTTGACGTTGCTGGATCAGCAGGGTGTCCGCCCCTACTGACCCTGACCGTTTTTGGAGGTCCAACTTGCTATCGCAGCTTGGCGACATGGTCGGACCCGCGCCTTAGACCTTTCCTTGGTCAAGGGCGGTCATTACGTCCAGTCTTTGGACGTGACGAGGTGCTTGGGACACTTCACTAATAGGCGCAGTGTCCGATCTTCTGACAGCGATGGCATCTTTCCGTTCGCTTGTGACTCAGAATGCGAGAGTTCTCGCTCTCGATGTAAAAGAGGTCCATTGGTTGGGGACCTCCTGTATCCTGTCGCCTCGTCGGACGATGTTTTGACGAGTTAGCCTGAGACAGTCTCAGGCTGAAGTCTTCTTATTCCGCATGCGCTATCACCTTTTCCAGCGTATGGAAGTCCTCTCGGAACATGTAGGTCTTCACCGGCCCATCCACAAGGCCGTAGATGAACACGTGATGAGCGTATGCTCATCAATAGGGTTTTCCGTAACGCTACTCGCAAGGTAGCGCAGGTGCTGTGCGTAAGCGTGTACGTCACGCTTACCTTGCTTTAGCCTCAAGAGTGCAGAGCGTGCTCTGAACTCGGTAGCTCAAACGTCTCTTTAAGCCGAGACTCCAGGATTTGAAACGACCCAAAGACGTTTAGGTCATGAAGCTTGAGCCCTAAGGCCCAAGTCTTTGCTCGTCCCGTCAAATTTGACAGGGCTAAGGTGACTTGCATCTCGTCAGCCTCGATGTGACGGGCCCTGATGGCACCGTCTGACTCGACTTCCATCTCAAAAGGGAATATTCATCGATCCCCTTGTACCTTGAGATATCAATCTTAAAGGTTTCGGGTCGACGCATGTGCGTCGGTCCGCCCATCGGCTGACGAGAGCCTTGCTGCTGTAGCAAGGCAATCTTCTGTCGTTCGACGGCAAGTTTCCCTTGTAGGAACTTGTTGATAGCAGCATGTTCCTGGTCTCTGCTTAGAGACTTCAACACGTCACTGATTGCGGGTTCGCCCATGAGCACACTCTTGCCGCCGACTACCTCCCATTCTGAGTCACTCAGATGGGAGTAGCCATCACGTGTGACGTGCAAGCTGTCGTCTTCTACGTCCAGCACGTTCATGTTGGACGGACACTAAGTAGTCGTTGGACGGACTACGAAGTGCTACCAGGTGTAATGGGGCACCCTTTGTCTGGGTCCGCGAAACTTCACGTACACTAGTACGTGCAGAGGAAGCTAATCTACTTAAACGACTAAGCTGAGTAAAGGTTAAAAAGAGATTTGTATATAATATGGTTAAGCTGTCAAAATATCTTAAGTCTTTATCTAACTATATTTATCTACATTGTTGCATGACGACAACCTGCTCACCACTCATTACGCGCGTCTAGCAGCGATTGGTGGTATTCTATGGTTGATATGTCTTGCATCAACCAATCTTGGAGCAGCGCCTGAATATTGTCAAAGAAGGATAATATTCCTTTAATATTATCTATCTCGGATTATATTAGTAAAATATTGTCATGCTAGACAATCTACCTATTGACACCGTTTGGTGTCAATATCGTGTAACGGGCTACCCCGTTCCACATGGCGTGCACCGGTGTGACTTCTGCACACTGACGTCATTCAACAATTTTAATCGCATGACCGGTACCTTGCTGACATGTTATGTATCAATATAAAAGCAGACTAGCTCAAAACATGAAGAGGGAAGCGTAGAATGAGTGAACTTGGAGCACTACGACTTCGCCCATCTTGCTACACCCTTGATCTTGCTGTCGCCTCTCGTTGATGCCCTTTCAGTCGCGACCTGCGTTATACACGAGACATTGAGGAAAGGGTGGCAGCTCAGACACGTCCACACAACAGCTCCGTCGCAAAAGTAGTGCGCATGGCCTCAATCACTCATAGCTACCAGCAGAACACAACGATGGAGATTGCAATACAAGCGGGTTTTAATGATGTTCGAGTGCTTTCAGTCATATCCGCTTGGCCGTCTACAGTTCCTGGCGACGGAGCAGTGTCGCCAAGCAACGTCGTCACATGCCAAGGAGGCCAACACTGAAGTTGACGGTGAAGGAGACTTGTGCAAGATGGCCCGACCTCCAAACGAACATCTGTGCTTTCTTGAAAGAATATGACAGTGGATAGCGAGCGTCGTCGCAATTACCGGTGCAGTAGAAGGAAGACCTTCGGACGTGACACAGTCAGCGAGCAAGTGGAAGAACCCTCTCGCAAAGCCTGACGACTAGAGCGTTCGCACGAGAAGCCGGTCAATCCAGCGGATGCCATCTCGGGATGGACACAGGTGACGTGGTGAGTACGACCGGCACAGCCGTTTACCACCATCCAGGCACAAAAAACGAGACACGACCGACTGCTCTCGACGATCCGGCCGCGATGCGATACATTCAGTGCCTCCGACGCACGAACCCATGCGATGTCTGGAGTCTCACCAGACGGACAGTCGTGCTCACAAAAGAGGCGGCTGGTGCATGTCAAGAGTTCCAAGACGAGACGTAAGCCGGCTGTGGGGTTTCCTCAGCTCCAAGGCCGCCGAATGTTTGTGGATACCTACCACTCTCCAACAAGCACAGCCGAAAGCTCAGTAATTGTCGTGAGCTCGACATCCACCGGTAAGCCTAATGCTGAAGTTCGTGAATGTCAAGATGATACGAGCGACCACATGACGTTACGACAACAGCAGCGGAGCCCATGGCAGACGTTCCGCAATCAAATGCATTGTCGCCATCAGACGACGAGGCTGTCGTCAAGGAAACGATCTGCTTTATCAGTCAGTACCTTTCAAGTGTGCGTATCAAGACGTAACGACGAGTCAGAATAGGGCTGTACGATACGTCCTCGCAAGTGGATGTCTGCAAGTTTTTCACGAGCCAGTTTAACGCTTGTGTGCTAATGCTGTGAGCCTCGTCGTGGATAGATGGCTGAAAAACCGCTGGGACAGCTAATTGGGCTCTGCTGTATGCAGGATGTGAACGTCCTCGAGCACTACAAAGTCATTTGCACCGGAAGCGGGGTGCCACGCTTGTGCCAAATGACCACGTAGTACTCACGAACAATGCATTTCATAGTAATGCAGTGTGATGGTAAAAACTCTATGCCCGACTTCTAACGACGTCCCTGCTCATGAGCGGCGGACTCGTGCAAGGTTGCGATATCATGTGGGCAACTACTGTCCAGTACGTGAAACTAGAAACCGAGCGAGCTGCCTTTTTCTGCGTTGACCCGCCTTTATGAACTGATTGCGTAACGCGTGGTGCGTGGCGCTGAAACAGCAGGTTTTATAGCTCGTTCAAAGTTGTACGATGAGTATCTGCGTACAAACGGCGGTTGTACAGATTGACAGTTGACCGACAATTCAGCTGCAATGCTCTCGCAGGTTGCGTAATTAAACATCCGACTGTCTGCTTGTGGAGGGAAAATGCGGCCGCGTGTGTAACACACGAAGACCTTACACCGTGCCGATCCTGCCCGCGCTCAAGCGTGCAGTCCACACTACTGGTGCTTGTCACACTGAACTATCCGCTAGACGTCGCTTGCTTGTGATCAACAGTGTTCTGTACAAAGTTTTGCTGGTCCGACATAGACCAGTTTTCTGCTCACTCAATGATCAATACGACAATCTGTAATGAGACTGTGTTGCTGCTAAGCCTAAGACCGCATTTGGCGCTGGAAGGTGCTACACTATGATGATCGGCACGGTCAATAATGATACAGTAGTCGCTCCAACTATCTTGCAAGAGAATGCAGCGTGCATACGTGAAGCAGAAGCAGGGAACAGCTTCACAAGCAGGTATTGTCATACTTCTTAGTATACGCTAGCGAGCTCGGAGTCGCCATGCAATTGTAAAGCCGTGTACCATGGAAAACCTCGCAATGTCGTCCAACAAAGTCGAGACACAGGAAAATACGCGCGTGATCGCGTGCAAATGTCGAGCAACGACTAGGATGATCGTGTGGGTAGCAAGGGCTGTCATCAACGTTTTCCACGATTCGGCATCTTGCAAACTCAAAGCCACCGACATCTTGACGAGGTGACCAGAATCCTCGACCGGCCTAGGCGAGTCTCGATAAGCCTGAATGGATAGCCGAATCTCGCGCAATGGACTTCACCATCTTTTCTATAGAAATGTGGTCAAAACCATGAGCTCTTGAAAAACTGAAGAGGTTGTTGTGGTTTGTGTGATGCTATTTTTCTCATAGACTAATATTGCAACATGTCCACGTTCTGAACCGGACCGCAGTGCTTGTCGATCGACTCGCAGCGATCGTCCAATCGAACGTGCAGTCAGTCACCAACCTCAAATTTGCTCTAGCAACCAAACAACCACAACAACACCCCCCCCCCCAAACCGCTCTCCCCTCCCTCGGTCGGACACATTCTACCCACCTATTTCGAGAAACGATACAACGTGGCGATCTATCGAACGGCTTCCGGCTTCTTGAACCGAGTGTAGGTTTCGACTCGCGGTTGGGGCACGCACCAGCAGCCGTCGAACCTCTGTTTCCACAGTGTAGAGTCGAGTCGATCGAGTCTCGTGTCGTTTCAGTCTCCAGTCCATGCACGTCCCTTCCGTTGTGCCGACCAGGTGGTCATTCCGAGATCAACTCTTTTCCAGAACTGTGTCTTGACACACGATCGCACAACCGACCAACCCAAAGAGTCGATCGATCGATCGATCGGTCGAATCGCCGTTAATCGAGTCAACCCGCTCGCCTCTGCCGTCGTCTTTGTCTTGTCGTGGTAGAAGCTCCTCAGAGCCGCTCCCTCCCTCCCTCCGTCTCAGTCAGTCAAGCACTGGACGTACCGCATGAAGGTCGCGTCGACAGTGGCAGTGGCTACAGCTGCGCTCTTGAAAGCGTCGGGAGCTACCGACATTGACGCTGGATTCGCGCAGGATGGAGCGACGACGTACTGCATGGGCGTCAACGGGCCCGTGGGTGTCCTCACGTTCGACTTGCTGGAAGTCTCAAGTGCTGGCCGCTGTCCCGTGGGTGTCACGCTCACGTTTTCGGGCTCCGAGTTCCACGTGAACGAACCACTGACAGTCAAATGGGCGGCCAAAGCACAGGCCAATGTGGCCAACAGTATTTTCCCCAATGCTATTGACCCCGTCACGAAACTCCCTGGAGCGGTGACGACTTCGGCGTTGTTCGCCTGTACGGCGGGAACTAATTGTGCCACGAACGTAGGCGGGACCCCAACAGGAGCTGACGGCACAAAAGCTGGACCCTTTGCCCCGGACGGTCTACTGGCACTGGAGACCAACACGTTGACGCTTTCTGCAGCTGGTGACTATGTTATTGTGGGTCTTGTTGCCCTCCCGGGTGACCCCTCGCTCAATATTGCGGCAACAGAGTATGTCGTCTTTAAGAAGATCAGCGTCGTGGAAGCCACGTCGTCCTCGATGACATCCAATTCAGGTAGCGTAGCAACTTCTGCTTCGGGTAGCGACTCGGCTTCGGAACCTACTGGGTCGCCTCGTACTTCTCCACCTGTTGCAACCTCTCCGCCGCTAACTTTGGCCCCTTCGTCTTCTTTAGGTTTTTCCAATGTGACGTCGCCTGCAACGAACCGCTCGTTGAACACGACGGGCTCAGATGTTTCGAAAAAGGGATGGCAGTCGGACGTTCACGGACATCAAGAGACCGATTCTGGTACGAAGAAGACGGCCGAGTCCCCGAATTCTGGTGGTCCGAACGAAGGCACCAACCAGACGGGCGACAAGGAGACAGAATCGTCGGGACTAACCGAGTCAGCGTCAACGTCCAAAGGCGGTGGCGTCTTTGGTAAAAGCGGCATTGCGATTATTGGTGTGATCGTGGCTATCTGTGCTGCGGTTCTCATCGCGTTCATCTTCATGATCCGTCGCCGCAAGCAACAGCGTGCAAATGCGAACAAGGCGTTTGACCTGGACTCGCCCTGTGTGGTGAGTGAAATGAACGACAGCATTCCTAATAGCAAGACTGGTGGTAATATCGACCTGACGTATGCCGCAAACGTCTCGGCTCGCAATACCGACAGCAAGGCAAATGACAACATGATGAGCGACAACGTGGCTGCATTCGAGAATGGGTCGAAGGCCAGCTCGATTGCCGGTGGTTCAATGCATTCGCTTCCTAAGAGCAGCTTGGACACTGATAAGTACTCGGAAGACATTTGCTATGGTATTGCGGGATCAGCAGGACACCCGAACGAGGCTGAAATCGATGCTTACCGCATGAGTAACACATCGGGAGTTTCCTCGTACGTCAGCGTCGCCCGGAGCGACGCGTCTATGTCTCACTTTGGTGACTCACTGGTATCGGCGAGTCAGAAAAAGTATTTGCAGCCTGGTGATTGGAATGACTCGATGTCGTCCCAAATGGACTCCCCCTCGCAATCGACGGAGCAAGCTGAAACGATGACTCGCGGAGTTGGTGGTATCGGTGGTTCTAGCATGACGAGCATGTCATCAGTGGACAACGCTTCAAGCGCCACGGGATCAAGAGAGCACGATTCGATGGTAGGATCGCACTTCAACGACGAATTACGCTCGACCACTGGTTATCGGGAAACGGAAGACTCGCGTGCAAGTGAGGATTCTCGCGCCACGGGCTTCTTAGAAGCAATGGGCGAATCTCGACTACAGAGCGAGGTGTCAGTCGACTCGTACGGTTTCCGAGCATCGTGTTCGAGCACAGACTCGTACAGCTCCGGCATGTCTTCCTACAGTCGAGGGAGCTCTCGTATCAGCGGCTGTAGCGTCGATTCAAACCTGGACAGCTCCAACAGCTTTAGCAAGTACTAGGCCAGTGTTTCAACGTGTTTTGACCTGCCTGGAAACGAGGCAGGGTTAGTTATGACGGGTTCGCATGTGATTGAGTGAAGGATGTGATTTGTTCTTGCGTCTATCGTCTGGTCACCGCCTTGTAGTCAATACCAATGCATCACGAGTCGATAGCCAAAACAAAACTTGGCGCAAGTGACCTCGCGTCCGAGCAACCATCAACAACACCATTTTGCATGTTCCAGTAGTATTGCGACCAGTTGAATACAAAGTAGCATCTTACCGCACTCGTGGGTATGCTGGAACCGCAGTCTCTTTGCAGCTGCTTCAGATAAGCTTGTGCTCCTTGGCTAATTTCGTGAGGTTCTCGATAGTCGACGGTTCGCACTCGACCAGAGGAGCGCGCACGGCAGACGAACACTTGCCCATGAGCTGCAGCACCTTTTTGATGGGTTGCGGGTTAGCTTCACTGAAAAGCGATTTGACCAGAAAGATCTGTTCGTAAACAGCAACGCGAGCACGAAACACGTAGCATCCTGAGTCAGCACTGCTTACTAAGGTAAGAACTCACACTGCTGTTTTCACGTACGTTCTCCAGAGCAGCTTTGCGAGCAGCGGCGTAGTCCCCCTTAAGCATCGGCTCCGTGACGGCCAGCACCTTTTTAGGAGCTGCTCAAATACGTTTCCAGACACAGCGTGAGTTTCAATGCCTCCATCTCAACAACAAGTCATCTTGAGTGCTATAACTCACATGCGTTCGAAAGCACACTGATGACACCCGTGGCACCCATTGCCATGAGTGGCAGCGTCAGGTTATCGTCGCCGGACAAGATCGTGATGTCGCAAAGAGCAGCAATTTCCATGGCCTGGTCCAGCGAGCCTGTAGATTCCTTGATGGCTACAATGTTGGGCAGCTTGTAGAGCTCTGCTATGGTCTCAGGCGACAGGTTGACGTTCGTCCGACCCGGAATGTTGTACATGACCACGGGCAGACCCACCTCAGCCACAGCCTTAAAGTGAGCGTACAAGCCCTTCTGCGTCGGCTTGTTGTAGTATGGACACACCACTAGACAGGCATCAGCTCCGTGCTCTTTTGCTGCACGCGTGAGTCGCAGCGCCTCCACCGTGCTGTTGGAACCTGTGCCAGCAATCACAGGCACGCGTCCGTTGACTGTAGCGACTACTTCTACGATTACGCGGTCGTGCTCCTCGTGTGAGACCGTGGGGCACTCACCCGTCGTACCCATCTGTTGCAGTGCATTGTCGTTAGTATCTAATAAGGAGCTAAAGGAACAGCCAAGGAATCATTCATGATACTGCAATGACGTACAGGTACAAGCCCATTGATGCCCTCCTGGATCTGCCACTCTACCAGCTCCCGCAGCTTGACGTAGTCCACGGCACCGCCATCTTCCATGAAAGGCGTTACGAGCGCCGTAAACGTTCCTTGCAGCTTCAGCGTCATGATTCTAGTGGTCACGAGGTAGTGATCAGTTTATTGAAATGGGTGGCTGCGCGATGGGTACAGAGATCGATGGATACACGGCATTGGTGAAAGAGTGGATCGAGCACTGCGGAGAGGTACTTTACCGGATACGAGTGGTACGATCGATGCTCTGCTAGGCTGTATCGCTGCTTGATTATCCGGAGACGTTGCGTCGCTTAGGTTTAGTCAAATTAGCTCGACGGATCGCTGAACTCAACATCGTGATTACGTTCGGGATTTTACTTGCCATGGACCGGGACAATAACGTTACTGATAGACTTTCTAGATGTAAATCCAGAAGAGTCCGGGCGGACCTCGACAAGTGCGAGCACCCCTTCAATCGAACAACAGAGCGGTTATTACAGAACGACGTTACCACTGTAACTTGTCGCAGGAAACTTGCTCGCAGAAGTCGATTGCTCAATTGGATATCGGGCTGCTCGTGACAATAAGATTGCTGGATTCAGCTCGTACCGTGCTCTGGACATAGTAGCGTCCGTTCATTGTGTTGTTTGTCGGGCCCTTGCTCAGGCCCTTGCTCACTTTTATCTCGAGTACGACCGTCGTAACTGTTCTGTAGTATGACAACTTCACAGCACATATTCGAGCATCTACCTGATTGCACAAACTGTTTATGATACAGTATGCACCTACAAGCGGTCGCGAAAGACCCTGCACGACCCATCGCATGCCATACTGAAGGTATGCGCTCCTAAGAGTTTCAAAACTTGCGGCAAGCATGCAAGACCGATGCTAGTGTCAAGTCAGTATGCTTGTCCGTAGCCATGGGGAATGATGTATGACGAGAGGCTGCTTCGTGAACAACGCGAGGTCAAAATCTCTGCAAACTTACCACTCGTTTCGACACGCCGTTAGTGTCACTGTGTCCCCACTGATGCAATCTTGCCCTTGAACCACCCGCCGTGTAGATGACCTCGCTCGTCAGCATGCCACTGTTAGCACACTTGTTTCTGCGTTCTTTCGTTCTCATGCTGAATCGCTTTTTTCGAGACAGAGTTCTTGTTTACTACGTGTCTGAATTCAACATAATTCTTCGAACGTGATCTCTCGCTTCGCTGTTCGTAATGGCCTTGCTTTCTACCAGCTTGCAAAGCACCGGTTCAGAAAACCACGCTCATTTGATGCCGCAAGCAGCGAGTTGCAGCCACTCATTCGTTAGCCGGTGCCTTACCAGTGGCGATTTGGTTTGTGTCTCACATACAAGCGTAGTTTCGACGTTCGACAAAGAGAACTATTCGTGTTTATGTTTTCAGGTGCTTGTCGAGTGTGATCCAATTGAAATCTCTCGCTTTACTCGACGGCGAACTCAACAACAACATCTTCTTGTGATGCACGCACTTGCGTAGAGATGACATGCGCAAAGCATCACCATAACTTGCAACTGCTTGTTGCTCTGTTCTTGCGGAGGTGCGCAAGCAACAATCCTTTTGCCTTGTCGATTTCTCTTCGGTAACGAGCTGTGTCATCATCATTCCCACTAACTGATCGAGTTGTAAGGTGTGCACGCCGGACATTCTCCACAGAACAGCGACGGTGCAAGACAGCAGCGAAATTCGAGGGATTGCAACTTTGTGGCAGGTGACACAGCACAATTGCAGGGCCCAAAGGTCCCACACAGGCTTGCAGCTACACCGAAACGAGATGTTCCTCTTACATCCTTAACAAAGGTCGACCATCACGAATTGTGCGACTCCAAACCGTCTCAAACTCGGTGTCCATGCACTACGCAGCGTGCAATATTAGCGCCAAAGTCAAACGACGAGCGATGTGAAAGACCGTGCTAGCAACCAGAATAACCGTACAAACAAACGAGGCTTAGCCAGAAACGCCTGCCATGAGCTTCTCCAAAGATACTTATCAGGCCTCCTCTGCCGACCAGCCAAAACGATGAGGTATTTTAGCGCAACGACGGCTTGTGCAAGCATATAGGGAGTGAAAGCCACTATCCATGCAACATGCGTAAAACTGGAGAGGGTCCACGACAATTTTAGTCAAAATACAGAAGCAACTAACATGATTCTTGTGCTGCTTAATCTGTCAGCACCAAAAGCTCTTTTTTACAAACGAAGAGTTACATGATATCGACAAGAGGACGACATCTCGAAGCTAGCGTTTACGTACGGATATCATCACAGCGACAATGATATCGGCAGAGTAGGACGGCAGTGTGCACGTGTTGCAGCTACCCGTCACATAGGGTGCCCTATTTCACCGAGAAAAAGCGCCAAGTCTTGGTGCAAGTGTCCGATGTCTTCTACGACATCTTCATTCTTGCGTTCAGCAACATGTCCGACCCCTCTCAAGCTACCGTAGTCTCAAACCTATTGTAGGCACGAGTGCAGTGAGGTGGTCACTGCTGCTGCTGCTGCATCAATGGACGCGGACCGACAGATCTCGGATCACGAGTTGCTTCGCTCTCAATCGAGCGCTCTAAACTGACCCAATGACAAAAGCCTGGCGGCTTCTGAATAGTTGCCGTCGATTGCTGGGACACGATGGCAGACACTCTCTTTCCCCGTTGGACCGACTGTTGATTGCAAAAGCAGTCGACGGGTGCCAAAATAGAAAAAGCGATCAGCTTATGTTGCTGTACTGTCGCAAAATTGATCCTAGTTTAAATATTTGAATGGCGCGCAAATAACAGGTGCACAAAACCACCACATAGCAATAACAAGTGTAGCCGAGAGTGATGGTCTGGTTGCACCTCGACCGACCCTTCCGCACGCGATCAGCGTGCCACATACCAAAATCAAGTGTAACGCGCGACACACGCCACAAGCAGTGCGGAATCGCCAACGAGCCTGCAGCGTCATTTCTGCTTTGTCCATGCCGACCGCACGGACGTCCGAGGACCCGGCGCTCTCCAGCCGCAAGCGCAAGGCCGATGACTTTGAGTGGGAGGCGTCCAAAGAGAACGTGATGCCGCTCAAGCGCGGCCGCAACGTCGTGGACTTGAACCAGGCGCTGCGTGCGCACGACTCTGTGCAGACGAAGCTCCGACTGGAGACGGAAATGAAGACCAGGGAAGCGGCGATTGCGGCGTACGCGGGAGACGATCCACTGGCGCACTGGCTCGAGTACGTGCGGTGGCTCGAGGTCCAGATGCCGGAGGACACGCGGAAGAAGTTCAAAGTCTTGGAAAAGTGCACGCGCGAGCTCAAGGACGATCGGAAGTACCGGAACGACATGCGATACGTGCGACTCTGTATCCAATACGTGCGTTCTGTACTGTAGCAAGTGCTTCTTGTGGCAGAACTTGTGGCTGAGAGAGTCGATCGATGGCTTTTGTGTGGTGTGTGGTGTGTTTTTGCTTGTTTGTGTGTGGGTCTGTGGTGTAGGCGGACTTGGTGTCCAATCCTAAGGACATTTTCCGGTACTTGTATCAGAATAAGATCGGCGAGCGTGTCTCGCTGTTCTACATTGGCTGGGCTTACGTGCTCGAGACGATGGCCAATTACCCTCAAGCGCACAAGATCTACTTGAAAGCCAGCCAGAAGTACGTGATCTCGATCCATTTCTCTATTGGTTGTTTATGAGGGCGAGATGCTACAGGAAAGTTTGAGACGAACAATGCTGCTGTGTTTGTTGTTGCTGCTGCTGCTGCTGTTGTTGTTGTTGTTACAGGAAGGCAGAGCCGCAGGATCTGTTGGAGAGAAAGTACAAGGAGTTCCAGCGGCGGATGAGTCGCCAGTGGTTGAGAATGAACGAAGAGACTGGTGCTGACGACGTGAGTGAGGTAACGCATCGCCATGCCCTCGAGAGCTTGTCTGTGTACGGAATGATGGAACTGAACGGTGCACAGCGTGAGCAGCTACACCAACACCATGCGTCTGCTCGGGCTCAACGGGTTCAGAAAGTAAATGCGCACAAACCGGTATTTACTGTGTATGAGGACCCTGTCGTACGCCATGTCGATCCTTTTTGCGGTAACGGTGAGTGGAAAAAGCTTGGCACCATGCAGCAGCAAGACAAGGAAAATGAGCTGGCACCCAGCGCTTGGAATCCATTAGCTGCTTCTACAGCTACTGGCTCTGGCCATAATCGTGAGCGTCTTCCCTCGTATACGTCGAGAAGCCATCCACAAGCCATCTCCCACCAGGTCTTTGTGGACGATGAGTTTTCTGTGCCTGACAGCGAAACGAAACGACAGACACCTCTAACACATCGTTCTCAAACTCTGCGACAGCGTATGGAAGGAGTGGCTACGGAGGAAGAAATGCTTGCACGAAAGCCGCTGAAGAATTTCACAGCCAGCGAGCAAAAGACGCGGGTAGAAAAGCAAGCACCAAGAAGCAGGGTTGAACAGCCTTGTTACGATGTTAAGCAAACCATGTCCGACGCAGGCGAAGCCGTTTCCTTCGAAGAAGTTCGAGCACGTGCGTACAAGCGCGCTAACGATAGACACTGCCCGGCTGCTCAGCAAACACTGCATGATGTGTCGAGCAGTGTCGATTGTGCACCCAAAGTAACTGCAGCCCCGTCTATATCAACCACGTCGGCGACTGGTTTGATAGCTTCTCACGGATTTCCGCTTTCAACACAAAAGCCTGCGATCACGCTGTCAAAATCCCGTAACGAAAAGCCTATCGAGCGAGGGCTGCCACTGGTATCTGGATCAACGATGATTAGTGGAACGGCTGAAGCGAGCAACGCTGACCATGACGATATGACTATTAACACTCGTGTTGCGCTGGAAGACATTAACAAGATGTTTTGCAGCCCACCGAAACAGCCTAAGGATACTGTTTGGGAAGTAAAGGAGGATGATCCTGTCGAGCGGAAGCTTCACTTTAGTGTTTACGATGATTCGGTTGATAGCATATCAGTGGATGCACAGGATCAGTCACTGCGTCAAGACACGAACGAATCTATTCCGACGCAGCCTTTCCAGGTTTTCACGGATGATGTTTCCGAAGGTTCACGAATGGAAAGAAAGATTTGGAGTCAGAAAAGGAAGCCCCTGGGCATTCGGGATGATCTGGTACGCGTCGGACGTCTGACGAACAAAGACGCTCTTGTGCAAGCCGAAAAGGATGTCGCTGCGAAGAAATTGCCTGATAGGTAGATGAGTCGTTGCTTGCTCGTCTACATTGCAACCTTATTATATCGGAAGAATCTGTCATTGTGAGACTCTGCTCATTGACCAGCGTTTGTTATAGCGGCCGAGTTCAAGATGCTATGAAGTACATAGCACGAGACCGACCACCGAGGTATCGTTATCAAATCCGCTGCTGGTCGTCCGACTCGCAACTCTTCGTATCACAATACACAACCTATGTCTCGTTTGACTAACATTTTGACGTCAAGACATATTGTGCAGCCTACTTTTGTACGGCCCAGTTCGAAAGCCTGCAAGTTAGACCCGTACACTCACGAAAACCGTCAAGCTCTGATCCTTGATCAGCGAGTTGACCGGTATCTGTGGTCGAGACCCGATGCCGTTAAAACTCACACACAAAAGCTGCCGCGATTTCCGTGCAACAATCCGGCCAAGCGGAAATTGCGAAAACCAGTTATTGTCAGGGCCAGTCACACGCTAACGCTTCAGCTTGTCGAAGTGCTAGGTTCAGGTTCGTTTGCGCATGTCTTCTCCGCCAACGTTGTTGATGCGGCAAGCAGCATCACTTTCAGCAAAGCTATCAAGGTAGACTATTTCCGTGCGCTGCTTCTATGTGCAGCAAATTCTTGACGCCTCTTCAGTTTGAAAAGGAGCGCCAGAATCTAGCTTGGGAATTCTACGTCACGAACAAGATCATCAAGATCTTACGGAACAAGAAAAAGCTTTTGGAGGAGAAGATTCCGGTGCCTGCACTCAATGCACTCCACTTGTTTCCGGTGCGTAAAGATCACACTTTATTCCTGACTTGCTTAGCTAACCACATACATCTACAGAATGGAGCTCTGCTTATGATGGATCAGGGCCGCGCGGGTACACTTTACGATGTCTTGAATCGCTACAAGCAGGTCAGAGTCTTCTACCATTTCTTCGGATACTGTTGACACTCACGGATGTGTACACTGTTCTTGCTTGTTGGCAGTCCGGAGTCATTTTCCCTGAAGTTTTGGCTGTCTACTACACCATTAGGATGCTGCGTTGCATCGAGCTGGTCCATAGCGCAAATGTTCTTCACGGCGATATTAAACCGGACAATTGGCTGATGATATCTGGATATCCTTCACTAGAGTTCTGTACAAGGATGGAAGGGCTAGACTTCGACAAGGTCTTCCACGCAAGTGATCTCTATCTGATCGACTACGGAAGGTCCATTGACCTCAGCCTTTACTCAGAGGGAACCGTCTTTACAGGCAATTGCCATGTGAAAGGATTCCAATGCGTTGAGATGTTGACACAGCGTCCATGGACCCACCAAATCGACACGTTTGCCTTCTGTGCAACGGTACACTGCATGCTATTCGGAGATTACATGGAAGTCAAGCCACTGCGCGACTCTAAGAGCACGACGACATGGGGGATCGTTAGGCCATTCAAGCGGTACTGGCATGTTGAGATGTGGAAGCATTTGTTTCACGCACTGCTGAATGTAAGCAGTTGCACGGAACAACCATCTTTATCCGACCTTCGGAAGCGCCTGGAAAATTACTTCGTGGCCGACACAAGCCGTCAACAGGTACGCTTTTCCACCACCATCACAGCCTGCTTCTTGTATAGCTAACACCACACTTTGGTTCGCAGGAACTCGTCAAACAGCTAAGCCGTCAAGACGTTCTTCTAGGAAAACCGATGGTTAAGATAAGGACATCAATAATTTAAGCACGTTCTCCGACAACACGTACGTGCACTGCCGGCGTTTCTTCTGGCCTAAGCAAACGAGCGTGTCTCGACACAGCCAAGGCGACGAATGACAGTCAGACCTGGTCTTATGGAGTAAGCTCCTTTGCACCTCGATCAGCCGCACGGCTGAAAGCGCGGAGGGATACCTGATGCTTACCAAGTAATAGTGCCGGTCGACCAGGTGCTTTGCTTTGCTGGCTGTTGCAAATGTCTTGGCTCTGTCGGCCAAGACGTGTCCATGAGTCCAATGCGATTTGTTGGCGTCAGAGTCAGTGTTTTTTCAGCGGCAAGGGTTCACCTGGATGCAACATCGTAACGATTTTCCCGTAACACCAAGCAAACAAGAACGAACACATGCCGCAATCAGTAAGCAAAAAGTCCATCCTGTGTATTCGCCAAGTTAGTACTGCTGATATCGCGGGCTGGCGGCCGATCACGTCTTCAAATGGTAGCTTACCTCGTGCTCCGTTTGCTTCCCCGCTAGCCCGCTGAGCTTTACCACTTGGCACTGACATGTTACTGCGGCGGATTGCTGCACGGCGCATATTGATACTGGTCGGTTCCACTAGCCCCACCAGGTGCGCCAGCATTAGCATCGACTCCACCCGCGGGAGGCCCCAAGTGACCATACGCCTGCTGACCGGCAACCTGTACACTTTGATTCCAGGACCCGTAGTACGAGTTGTATCCACCATTCCATCCGTGCTGTCCCCAATCTTGTCCCTGCAATTGGCAATCGTATCCTCCGACCGGCGCGACCGGGGGTGGAAAAGCGGTTGCTGGAGTAGAGCCCATAGTAACTGGTCCAGATACTTGCACACCCGGGGCGCTTGCAGTACCTGGTGCTCCGACAGATTGCTTCATCATCCAAGGCTGCGTGGTTGCACTTGAAAATGTCTTCGCTGGTTTCAGCCATGGTGCTGATGCTGCCTGGGCTGTCGCCGCCTCTGGCGTTTTCACCTTTGTAGCTGTCGAAATAATAGGTGCTTCGCCCAGCTGTTGCATGAACTGCTGATATTCTTTGTCGATGGCAGCACTCTCTTCAGTAGACTTCTTTTGAGTGCAATCGCGAGTTGGGTGACTAGAGTCACCGCATATGGCACACTTGACGTTAACAGCCTTGAATGTACCTGAAGTACAGCATAACAAAGCCTTGCAGTTAGTAACTATACTTAGGCCACGTCGCCACAATATCAGCATGACAACAACTTACGATGAGCATCACGGTTTGGACATTCCCATTGTCGATGACCTTTTTCGCCACAAATATGGCAATAGTCGTCGTCTCGGAGTGTACCGTTGATCAGAGCCAGCTCACGCAATTGCTTCTGTTTGTGCGAGTTCTTTGTATCATCCACCGGCACAAGTAAACTCTGCACTTCCTTTGCTGCCTGGTCAAGATCCTCTTCACGATCACCTGTAATGAGCACGTGCAAATCATCATCTTCATCGCCGTTCATCTTTTTTCCCTTACTGCCTTCTTTTACAGAGCCCTTGCCACGTATAGCGATCTTGCAGTTTGTTTCCCGTTCCATTCGTTTTTGCGTATTACCGCGAGGTCCGATAATCAGGCCGATGAAATTGTACGATGGAAAATCCCGGTACGGAATATAGATCTTGCGATTCAGTTTTTGACGCGTGTAGTCGGCTGGTGGTCGGAACAGCGGGTTGATCTTCAAGAGCTGATCAATTGTTCCACGCCGGCGTTTTTCCAGTGCAGCTTTCATACGCACTTCACGCGTATTCGTACACTTGCCGGTCGAGTCGTATTGCGGTGGGGGCGACGGCGACCGGTTCGGGTCTTTCTTTGCCAATGCAGCGTCGATCGCCACCGTCTTCATTTTCTGATTAATGCCCTCGAGCTGGGCATGGAGCACCACAATTTGCTGCTGTTGCTGGTTCATCAGACCAGCTGCTGTCGAAGTGACGCTCGACGCAGGAGCCCAGCGGGACTTCTTCCTCTTTTTTTCGCCATTGCTGTCTGCTGCAGGCTCCACAGGGTCCCCCCATCGACTTTTGCGTCGTTTCTTCGGCTGTTCTTCAGTCTCCAAACAAACGCCGTCTCCAGCAGCATCTCCTTCCTTCTTCAAAGTCTCTTCTGTACCCCCTTGCTTCTCTAGACTCTCGTCGTCGTCTCCATGATCAGTAAACTTGATGTAAGCCTTCAGTACTTCCCGATACGGTGCCCACGTCTCGAGTTCTTGCCAGAACAATGGGAAGACTCCGTACTTGGCCTACATCAGTGCACCAATACAAACACACAAAAGTCATTTCTATCGTCATGGCTACTACCACTAAACGCACGATCACGACTATGTACCTCCAGCTGCGGTCGCTGTCGGAACCACTGCTTCATCGGGTGGTGGTAGCTCTTCATCATCGCTTTCCGCTCCTGCTGCTCTTCGTACTGGTACTCGTCCTTCACTTCCGTCGCTACAGGCTGCAACGTCTCACCTTCCATCGTCGCCATAAACGCTGTAAAGCCGCCTGCATCGCCGTCCGCCATGCTCCACTGCCCTCGTTTCTAACTCGTGTCAACTTAGAAATACAACCACCACCCCAAATAGAAAACCCCCTACGTCGACCGACTGGAGGTCGACTACATCCACCAAACCTGCATCCCGAAATAAGAAGAGCCCCTCGCGTCCATCGTCGGTGACGTAGACACACCCACGCACCCACTCACACATACACATCTCGTCACCAACAGCTCAATCCGTGCGACACAAAAGCACTGGCGCTCCCAGCAGACGTGATGGCAGACCAAGAAGACGTCCTGGCGTCGCTACTGGACGCGGTCGTGCGGCAGCCGACGCACGACGTCTTCATCCAGTCGTACGGACACGAGGTCCTGGACAAGTGCCAGAGCGGCGCGCTCCCGCTCAAGCGCCTCGCGTTCCACGTCTTGGCGCAATGCTATCGCGTCCAGTACCGCAGCTCCGAGCGCCATTTGAAGACGCTGCTGATTGCCACGTGCAACAACGTGGCCAAGTTCCCCGAGGTCTTTGCGCGCGTCTTGCACGTGGTCTGTCCCTCGCTCAGCGCGTCATTCGATCGCGCGCGTGTCCTCGCCCTGCGGCTTTCGTGTGTCGTGCTGGACGCGGCGTTGCAAGCAGAGACGTCGTCGTCGTCTTTAGTATCGGAAACGACGTGGTTTGCGGACTTGTTGGCGACGCAGAGCCGGTTGCTGGAAGCTACACTGGATGACTCGATGCGGAGCCAGCAACAAGCACGTAAAGCGGTGCTTCAAGTGCTTAAGAAACACGACAAGACGCTGCTGCCGATGTACGTTAATGTGGTGGCTGCAGCTGGACCTGAAGAGCAGTATTATCAGCTGTGGATGGTGCTAAGTGCTCGTGACAAGGGACTGGACAAGGACATAAACGAGATGTTGTATCGAAAGTACGCGTACTGGGCGTTTGAGAGCAAGAAACGGTCGTTCGTGCCTTTGGACAAGGATGATGTGAGGTTTAAGACGCTGACGTACGAGCAGTTGGAGCTGTGTATTTCGCCAGTGATGGCGAAAATGCTCAAGAAAGCACCAGAAGCAGTGATTGAAGCCGTGGGAACGCTCGTGCTGAGCATGCCGTTGGACTTTGGACGATACTTGGACGACTTGATGAAACCCGTGCTGGTTGCCAAGTTACGGGCTCCCAAGGACGATGTGCGTGCACTCGCAGTGAAGCTTGCTGGCGCGCTGGCACACTCATTCTGTCAGAGCGAACATGTGCAGCAGTTGGTGAATATCATGGGCGCGTTGTTGGACAACAAGCACGGCATCCTCGCCCAATTCTACCAGCGCGAGGCCGTATTTGCTGTACTCAATGAGGCTGCTGATGCGGCGACTGTACGGTTGGATGCGTCGGAATCGCGGGACATTGCTTCGACGGTGATCGCAACTTTGCTTAGGGCTGTGGGCAAAGAGGCACAGGAACAGACGCGTCATCTCGGACTGTTGGCACTGGGCAAGTGGCTTGTGCTTGCTGGTACTGACGAGTTGAATGCTGCCACAGTAGCTGGTATAAAGAGTGGACTAGCCAACAAGCCCGAGCCCGTTGTGGCTGGCTACCTTCGTGCTTTGGCGGTACTTTGTTGCTCTAGGGCAACTGCAGCTGTGCCGTTTGCTGATGAAGTTGTAGACGTGATAAAGGACTCAAACAAAAGACCACATGGAGAGCATCTTGCTGGCGTGTTGGCCGTTGCCATTGCAGGTGCAATGGCGTCTGCTAGTAGCGAGATGGACGCGCGTATGGGACAGGAGAATGTTGCTGAGCTCCTGTTGGACTCCACATCTTTTGTCGGACATAGCGTCCGAGCACTACTGAGCAATGTGGCGACTTTATCCCGACTAAGAGACGTTCCCGAGACTCCGGCTGTTACGGCGTTGGCGACGCTTCCACGCGCTCTGGTGTGGGTCTTGGCATCACAGCAGTCAGATGCTCGCGAGGTTTATTCGCTGTTTGTGGAATTACTGTGTTCTGCGATCTTTACTGTACGCCAAAGTGCTGAGAGTGCCCTAGAAGACTTGTATCTGGCATCAGTGCAGCATTGTGCGGGCCTCGTGGCTGCATTTGAGAGGAAGATCGACGCGCTGTCAACCGGAGAGAAGCAGATTGCTCCATCGGCAGGCGTGCTCCGTCGTGTTTTACGCGTAGTTGTTCCGACTGCTATTGGCGATGCTGAGGGCACTAAGGTACATATTTTCGCTCGCGTCCTTTTCTTTGCGCATCATCCATTGCTCGTTGCAGGCAGGAAAGTTGACGTATTTGCGCGCGAGTGGCAGTCTCTCCGTCGCCGTTTTTTGGCACCCAGCACTGCGTCTACGGACAATACTGACGACAACGAAGACGATTCTCCTAGTGAAGCTGATCTAGTCGATAACTTCATCGAAGAGCACGAAGAAGTGAAGACATCAATTGTAGAACTGCTTGCTAATGCGTCAGCCGGCAAGTTGTACTCGACAAGCCCATTGCAGCGCTTGGCTGCTCAGCGAGCAATCGCCACTTTGCTCAACTTTGCTGGTAACGGCGATGGTGAAGATCTCGCGTTGCACGATATTGTCGAGAACATGCTGGCTGAACGTCTGTACAACGAGAATATTGATGCTCTCAGCGAAGAAGACGTTGCGATCTGCCAGATCCCTTACGACGAACTGTATGAGTGTAAGCAGGAATGTGAGGAGGATGAGACGACCAGCCGCAGCAATTCTGGTCGCTTTCGGGGCAATGCAGACGAACAGTGGGAAGAACAAGTGCGCATGGAATTGCAGAAGAAACGGGCTGAGCAAGGCGATGTGAAGATGGTGTACTCAGTTGAGCAGCAGGCTTTATTGAAGGAGCAACAGGAAGTGCGCCGAAAGGTGCAAGAGACGCGTCGTGTTGTGTCCGCTGTGCTGGAGACCATTGGTATGCTAGCAGTCACTCGGCCAGATGAGCTTCACTCTACGCTACCACGTTTACTTCGCTCAGTCCGCGTATTGTTCACGTGCCCACTTTTCGAGTCCGAGGCGTCCGACGCACTCTTGTCCACAGCTAAGGCTATAAGTCCGGAGCTGCTTCGCTCAAACTATCAAGACGTTGCAAGTGCACTACGAATTGCTCTGCAGCTCGACCGGTTTACCTCGGATAAAGCAAAGGCGGCGCACCTTGCGGAGATGCAATCGCTGTATCTACGTCTGCTGGCAGAGTTGATGGAGTTCGTGTTTGGTTTCCAGTTTGACAGCGAAACAGACTTTGACGCCGATTCTCCATGCAATTTGATTCCTCCGCCAACGCTGCACTTGATCTTTCCAGTGCTTTGTGCTTCGCTGCGCTTCGCACCGGACCTGCGTCGATGGGCGCTGCCCCTTCTAGCCGTTCACGCGCGTACGATCCCTGCTGAAGAAGAAGAAGAAGTTGGCGATGTCGAAGCACAGCGGCTGCTTCGTCGTGATATGATTCAGCTAGCTTTGCTGCTGCTGTCCCAGCAAGCAACAGGGGATGCATTGCCTATCACGAATCCAGACCTGGCTCCGGGTAAACTGCTTACTTCTCTGTGTATGGGACCTGAACTCACCCCGTCGGAGTGGGCCCCTCTGCTTGATGGGGAAGGCTTGCTCGCAGAAGAGGCAAGTGCACGCGGTGAGGTCCTGACTGCACTGCTCAACGTTGTTCGAAGTGAGGAAGGTGGGGAGGAGTTCCGCAATGCCAAGCCCAGTTCGCTCTTTGTCAGCCGGCTGCACTGTTGTTGCTTTGATGCGGACGAAAAGAACCGTACTCTCGCCAAGCAGGTATGGAATGCCACAGGAGTTACGACGACGGCACAGTTTGCAGGTCCCTTGCTTGAATTGCTAAACCACACTCATGCTAGCGTGCGTGAAAGTGCTTCTCTAGCTCTTGCTGATGGTATGCGTCAGTTCCCGGCGTCTGTGACGCCGCTGCTGAATGATCTGAAGACGCGGTTCTTGTGCAACCAGCCAAAACCAACGAAGCAATTGGACGAGTTTGGTATTCCTACCGCCCGCCGCTCTCATGCGCTACCAGGGGAACAGAGTGAGGATGTTCGTACAATGTACCCTCGCCTCGGCGTCGCTCTATGCTTGGAGAAAGCAGCAGCGATGGTAGGCCCTGAAGCAATCTCCAGCGCCAGCACCATGCACCTGTTGACGTTTGTTATGGAACATGGTCTCGGAGATCCGAACGCCAAGGTGCGATCGCAGATGCGAAAGACCGGTGTGCAAGCTGTGGCTTCGCTGGGTGGAGGCATCAATACAGCGCCGCTGCTGGAAATGTTTGAACGCTTCCTTGAGACGAGTGCTCCCCCTGCAGCTGCAGGGGTTGTAAAGAAGGCCAAGGTTGGGACTGAGCTTGCTGCTCAGGAAGCGGAAATGCTGGAGCAGCAAGAACAGGCGTTGTCCATCTACGACCATCAGCGTGAGGGTGTCGTGGTATGTTTGGGCTCTCTGGCGAAGCACATGGCCCCGACGGACCCCAAGGTGTCTTTCATCGTAGACCTTCTCCTGGAGGCTCTTGACATTCCGTCTGAGTCAGTCCAGCGCTCGGTCGCTACATGCCTATCGACGATTATAGGTGCAGTGAAAGAGCGCAGCACAAGTATCTTGGATGGCCTGATGAAGCGTGTGACTGAAGGCCGAACTTTTGGTGAGCGCATGGGTGCAGCTTTCGGTATTTCAGCCGTGATCAAAGGACTTGGTATTTCTGCACTCAAGCTCCACAGCATCATCCCGCGCCTCGAAGAAGCGATGAAGACGGGCGGGGCTGATGCGCGTGAAGGCGCCATGTTTGTGTTTGAGTGTCTGAGCCAACGCCTAGGGCTGCTGTTTGAGCCCTACATCATCGTTATCGTACCCATTATGCTCAAGTGCTCGGCCGATGCCAGTCCGCAAGTACGCACAGCTGCAAGTCAGACTGCTAAAGGTATCATGGCCCATTTGTCGGCCCATGGCGTGAAGCTGGTGCTGCCATCGCTTCTGGGTGCGCTGGAGGAGAGCGCGTGGCGTACGAAGCAGTCTGGCATTCAGATCTTGGGCTCAATGGCGTACTGTGCCCCTCGACAGTTGGGCTCGTGTTTGCCTCAGGTGGTGCCCAAGTTAATGGCTGCGCTGACTGACTCACACCCAAAGGTCCGTGAGGCTGGCAAGAGTGCACTACGTGACGTGGGTTCCGTTATCCGCAATCCTGAAATTGCTGCGATCTCCAAGGTGTTGCTTGATGCGCTTGAAGACCCGAACCGGTACACGGCTGAAGCTCTGCAGCAACTCCAGTCGACCTCTTTTCAGCACTCGATCGATGCGCCGTCACTGGCGCTTGTGATGCCTATTATCTCTCGTGGTCTCAAGGATCGTGCTGGTGATGCGAAGAAGAAGGCCGCACTCATTGTGGGCAGTATGTGTTCCATGATCAACGATGCAAAGGACCTTGTCCCGTACATGGAGACGGTGCTGCCGAGTTTGAAGACTCAACTCATGGATCCCATTCCGGAGGTCCGTGCTGTGGCTGGAAAGGCTTTGGGCAAGCTGGTCAAGGGCCTTGGTGAACGCCACTTTACGGATGTGCTGACGTGGCTCCTTGGAGCAATGAAGGACGATGAAGTTGGTCCTGTCGAGCGTTCAGGCGCTGCACAAGGTCTGTGTGAAGTTGTGGTTGCGCTTGGTTTCGATCGCGTCGAGCGTGTCATGCGGGAAGACATCTTGCCACTGGCTCGTCATCCGAAGTACTCAGTGCGTGAAGGTGTGTTGTGGGTGATTGCCTTCCTGCCACCGGCACTTGGTAAGCAGTTCTCAGTCTTCCTTCGCGAAGCACTGCCCATCGTGGTGGCAGGTCTCAGCGACGAAGCCGAGTCTGTACGCGGTGTTGCCATGCACTCGGGACACGTAGTTGTCAACGCGCACGCCCTCTCGCATACGCGTGACCTGCTACCAAGTCTCGAGGCTGGTCTTTTCGATGATAGCTGGCGTATTCGCCAAAGCTCGGTCACACTGCTGGGTGATCTTATGTATCGCATCAGTGGCACGCGTGCTGTTGCTGTTGTTAACGATGACAGCCATGATGACGAGGAGACGTCTGGCAGTGCTGCAGGTGATCGTGCGATTATCAAACTGCTTGGTATCCAGCGTCGTAATGCTATCTTGGCAGCGCTGTACATGATTCGCTCGGATACGTCGGCTGTAGTACGCCAAAGCGCGTTGCAGGTTTGGAAAAGCGTGGTCACCAACACGCCCAAAACTCTTCGCCAGATTCTCGAGGCACTCCTGAACACTATCGTGTCGGCACTTTCAGGTGACAACATGGAAAAGCTGACAATGGCTGGCCGTACTCTTGGCGACATTGTGCGAAAGCTGGGGGAGCATGTACTACCTGAGGTAGTGCCTATCTTGCGCGCTGGATTGTCGCCTTCGCTACCTATTGGCCGTCGACAAGGAGCTTGTATCGGTCTCGCTGAAGTCATTGACTGTTGTACGAAGAAACAGGTCGAGGACTATGTTGACACACTCCTTGACGCTGTTTTGGACGGGGTTTGTGACGAAGTAGCAGAGGTCCGTGCATCGGCAGCGCACGCGTTTGATGTCCTGCACAAAGGTATTGGCTACCGTGCGATCGATGAGACCGTTCCCAAGATCCTGGAGCGCATCCACTCTTCGCCGTCGGCAGAGGAACAGGAACGTGCGCTTCTAGGACTGCAGGAGATTTTGCGCGTAAAGTCGCGTGAGGTGCTCCCGTATTTGATCCCACGTCTGCTGGTAAAACCGGTGACTGCCTCGGCGGCATTTGCAGTGTCGCGCGTGGCGCAGGCGACAGGTGCCGTCATTCACTTTCAAGTCGAGCGAATTTTTGCTGCATTTTTCGCGCAGTATGTCGAGCTGCTGGAAGCTGGCAGTCCGGATGCTTCAAAGGCAGAACTTGCTGAGAAAATCAAGAGCTCGTTGCGCGAAGTGGTGCTTCATGTGGACGCGCCTGGTGTGCACTGGCTGGCGATCGAGCTGTGCAAATACTGCGAGAGTGAAGACGAGCTTGAGCGTGTTCTTGCTTTCGAGCTTGTGGCGGAATTCTGCTCGCACGCGTCGGTACCGTATGACGACCAGGCGCCGCTGTTCCTGAAGCAGATTGTGCTGCACTTGAACGAGCAGAGCGATTCGGTGGTTCGCGCGGCATCTGCGGCACTCAAAGGCATGAACGTGACCACGAAGCCGGAAGATTTTGCACAACACTTGGACTTCATTCGTCAATCGATCAACTCGATGGTCAGTGACGCCCGTCATCGCAAGGGTGGTGTTGGTGACGGCGAGTACTTGCTACCCGGTCTCTGCATTCCTCATGGCCTGGAGCCGTTTTTGCCCGGTTACCAATGGGCTCTGATGAACGGCTCGCCGGTTCTGCGTCAAAGCGCAGCTACTGGCTTGGGTGAGCTTGTGGAGTTAAGCAGCGCCTCGGCTCTTCGTCCGTACTTGATCAAGCTCACGGGGCCGCTCATTCGTATCGCCGGTGATCGTTTCCCCGGTCACGTGAAGGCTGCAATCTTACAGAGTCTGGAGATCATTTTGACCAAGGGTGGCGTGGCACTCAAGCCGTTCCTTCCGCAGCTGCAGACTACATTCATCAAGGCCTTGAACGACACTGCTGCGGAAGTTCGAGCTCGCGGGGCGTCAGCATTGAGGGTGCTTGTCACTCTCAGTCCGCGCGTGGAACCACTTTTGACTGAGCTTACGGAGCGCTTACGAACTACGACTGGTGGCGTGCGTGAAGCCAACCTGGAAGCCGTTGCCTCGGTGGTCGAGCGCGTCGGCGATAAACTGTCCGCTGCTGGCCGCAGCACTCTGGAGAATGCACTCGAGGAGATGTTAGAGTCAAGCGAAGACGCACTCCGGGACGGCGCAAGCATGTGTCTAGCTTCCTGCGTGGCTACCACCGCAAGCATCGACGCGGAGGTGGCGATGGGGCAGCTGTTGGACTACAGTTTGACAAACACCACCGAAGATGACAGGCAGGCGCTGTCATGGCAGCGCCGCCAGAGTGCGGCTGTATTCGCTGCGTCGGTATTGCACAAGCACGCAGCGCTGCTGACATTGGATATCTCCGCTTCTCTGACTGTCACGCTTCTTGCACTGGCGCAAGACGAACAGGTTGCAGTGCGGAACCACGCGCTTAAGGCACTTGGTGCCGTGGTAAAGCACTCGAAGCATCTGGAAAGTGCCGCTGCCCTGGTGCCTGTGCTGGCGGACAGCCTGACGCATAAGAGCAAGGACATCGTCCGTGGTTCGCTGCACGTGATGAAACTCGCTGCGAAGCGCTCACCGGAGCAACTGCGCGAGCACCTGCCCGTGCTTGTTCCTGCTGTCTTTCAGGTTATCAAGAGTAACTACATGGCCGTGAAGTTGCCTGCTGAACGAACGCTGCTCTACCTGCTTGAAGTGCATTCGCGACCAGAGACCCAGGCAGAGTATCTGCGCAGCGGTGGTGCTGATGCCAAGGTCATCAGCGAGTATACACGTCGTGTGTTGAGCAAGCTCAAGGCGGACAGCGGTGACGAGAGCGACTAAAGCACATCTCACGATAGGGCATAAGCACGAGAGAGAGAAGCAGGAAACATGTAGCTGGAGTACCTTGTGCTGAAAGAAGTGGCATGTCTTGGGTTGGTTTGAACAATAAATAAGCTCGTATTCACCCACCACCCCATGAACATTATCATACCGCTGCACTCAGACTCACTAGCAACGGCGTCGAGAGGGTCCTTCCAGTTCACGAGACAAGTTAGTGGTTCAATGGATCAGCCACATCACCGGCCACCGTCATAGCAGTCGCTGCTGACCCCCGTCTTCGACCACGACGAGGTGGCAACTTGTCTCCATTTTGACGTGAACCGAGAGCTTGTTGCTCGTTCGGCACAGCGCAGATACCGGGCTGCAACCAGCACGAAACAACACACACACACACACACACAAAACAGAGTTACAAGCTGCAGCAGCAGGAAAAAGGTCGTCCCACCATAAAATGTATCGCGTACCCAACGCCATCGAATGACCATCGAGATTGCTGTCGCGTAGGCAATCACCGTTGCAGCCACAGTGAGACTAAAGCAGTCACCATTGTTGAACCGGAAGTAGTATCTCTGCCACAAAAACAACGATGCTGTACCGAGTACCGCTGCACCTCACCACACCAGCAAAAAAGACAAGAAACGACATGAGCATCGTCAAGTCAGTGCTACAACAAAGGCAAAGTGTCCGTTAAAACAAGAGCGTCGTGCATCGTACCGGCGCCAAATAGCAAAATTCCTGGCATCATTCCGATCCAAAAGACCATCTCTCGCGTTGGGTTGCCCAGCTGCAGATAGCCTGCTAGCAGCGTACTTAGGAGAGCGCAGCTAAGTCCCACTGCCAGTATCCACACCATCAACTGCGGCACCAATTCGCCATTTGTGTGTTTCTGACACAACACAGCTCCATCCTGCAGATTAACGACCGTCGTGGTCTGATTCTGCGTACCGGGACTACACAGCAGACCATACATTAGCGTTAGCGAATCGATTTTTCGGAGCAGTCCCTATTTCTCAATTTGTAAATATACAAGTACATTTAAATGCATGTAAATATATATAATACATATTTGCATACGTATACGACTATACGTATTTATGTGTATATACGTATAAACGCATATATACGTAGCCAGTCATTCAGATAAAACCTCAACTGCGTTCGTTACATTGTCAATGTGAATGAATCGTCCGCACAAAAAGCGTCCCATGACTTGGAGTCCGTCGAGTTTTCGCCAACAATGTAGACACGTTTAAGTGACGCGTGGACGTCCGGATCTTCTCCAAACAGCAGCCAATTATGGCGGAGGAGTGACAAGAACAGAAGTGTGCATACGACCATACAGAGGAGGATCTGATTCGCATTGGGCAGGCCGAACTGACGATAGTGGCGGCGGCGCCGCATCATGACTTCCGAAAGTCTCAATTGCGACAATAACGCGAAATAGAGCCGAATAAGAAAGGCCGTTTGTATCGTCAGTATTCCTATAATTGCGAAGCAAATGGGTCAAAACGAGTCACTATAATCGGCAAACGACTCTTTTTTTTACTATGCAACGTGCATGTCACACAAACGGGGCAAAAAACACCACGCAGTATCGGTATTCGTTAGCGCTTGTTGATGACATGCACCCGTACGTTAGAGTACGTTATTCGACGCGACTAAATTCGGTTGTGTTGGTGCTCGGCCGGTACAGCACAAATGAAAAGTCGGCGTGGAACGGACCCGGGTGGAACACACCAACGGACGAGTATCCGAGTTGGTATTGCTCGGTTGAGTCCCCAATGATCAAGACGTCCGGAGCTGGAAAGAGCTGCAGCGAGGCGTCAAAGTCCCAATTGATTGGGTTTGCCATCAATGGCAAGGGACACAAATGTGCTTGGTCAATAAGCGTCTTTGCCAGCTGGAAAAATCATGAGAGATAGAGAGATGAACGTTAGTATCTCATGCCCTTGTTGGTATCACCAGTACCTATAAAATCGCTACAGAGGAGATTAGGATAATGGTGAATCAATCACGTACATGCTTTGAAATGTCCATCTGTGAGACGACGGACGAGGCAATAACTTCCTCATTGTCGGTGTCAATGACTGCCTCTTCGTCACGTTCGCTCGGCAGGGGCGGAAGAATCGCGTGTCGCTGCATCTTTTGCTGTAGATTGTCACGGAAAATGACAAGGTCTTGAGTGTAGTAGCGGATTCGGCACGGATTGGTGCTGCACGTGAGATTGGGCACCTTACGTCTGAGTTCGCGCGTGCAAAGATCAGGAAGCTGCGCACAATGAAACGTGTTAAAGAGGAACGTGTGAAGCTAGTTGGTAGCAGATTGATCGTACCGGGTGGCGTGGAAAGGCTCGAGATGAACCCGGATCATTCGGACCAGGCACTAAAACAAAACGGGCGTTGTTCGCAATACCAGGATACTTGGTAATGAGGTTCCCGAGCTCGTCCAAGTACTCCCGCAGGTCTTGTAGCGAGTTGGAATCCGCACTTCCACCAATCGATGCTGACATAAAATCACCCATGAGGATAAAAAGTGTGGGCTGCACGCTTTCGAGGCCTTGGAAGAGCTCGTCCAACTTCGTTGTGACGTTTGGGTCGTCAAGGTGGACGTCAGATAGCACAATAAACGTAGCGTGATGGTCACTAGCCTCCAATGTTTTCATCTGTTCTCGTTGTTGCATCGACACCTCGACACCTAGCGGATCGATACCACCCAGTACGTCCATCGAGGCTTCTTTCGTCTCTGGAGGTGGGAAACCCATGGACTGCAAGATGAAAATCAAGTACAGCATGAGTCATCCAGCTCACATTGATAGATGCCAGCGCACTTCGCTACCTGGACATGAAGCACGTCATCCATCACTTGACCTTCTACAAGCACAACGCAGTTTACAGTAAAAATGCCGTCGGTGTAAACTGCATTGGCGAGGTCAATGACAATCCGCGACGTAAAGTCCTCCAAGTAAAATCGCTTGCGCTCGTCCTGCCCCAGCATGCCAATGACGCGTCGCACTCCAGCCACACCCAGTAAAGACTCGATTCGCGACAGCTAGAGCCGTCACATGACAATGAAGTTAGCGCTATCAACCTCATCATAGCCGTGCAATGTCCAAACTCGAGCCCCAGCACTGACCTCCATGTAAAACTCTGCAGAGTTGGCTGCTGCAGTCGAAGGTGGTGCAAACAATCGATTCCGCTTGACACGGAGATCGGCCGAGAAGAACCGGTTCCGCAGCAGCTGAATCCTTGACTCGGGTCCAGCGTGGAGTCGACGATGAGCGTCTGCTTTTAACTCGTACGAGTTGGTGTGCGTGTTAAAGTGCAGTCTCGGCGTGTAAAAGGCGCCAAACACTTGGATCTGCTCAAATTCGTTTGCTGCCGACACTGCTAAGAGTGTGTCCAAGGCGCTCTCTAGAGCTTCCAGCGTCACCACCGACGTCGTCACTGAGCCGCATCACAAGACGGTTAGTACAACAAGTCAGAGGCGCTCTACAAAATTGAAAGTAAGAGAGTGTGGGGCCGCACTTTTGCTGTGGTCAATGTTGTTCTTGACAGCGAACAGGACATCCTCTAGCTGCAAGGATGGCTCACTGCAAGTAGAAACAGTAGATATTAGAGGTTCAATGAGAGATCAGATGAGTTGGGATCAAGACATTGCTTTCATGTGAGTAGAAGCGAGTGTAGGGACGCAAACGAAGCAATCGAAGAGATGGAAGGCGTAGACACCTACTTGGTGAGCTCCTGGGTGAGGTGTCGCAAAGCATCGGCGTGGAACGAGAGGCCTTGTACCTTGCATGCGCGTAAAACTCGTTTTGAAGCCATTTCGTTCCCGCGGTATTTGTGGATGGCGCCAACAGTCTCTATTGGCAGACACGGTATCAAGAGACATAGCTACACTTTTATCGACCATGTGTTGTGGATTGGCAGTTGCAGTCGGTCATGCAGGCATACAGTCGATTCGATGGCTACGAATGGAAAGCTACCCCTGCTGTCAAAACTAGTGTGAGCAATTCGAGTGACTCGATAAAGACTTGACTAGTACGTCTGGTTGCCACCTCGGCCCAGACCCAGCACGTAACTCATGCCCTGCGCGTCACGCACGGCAGAAGAATCTCCCATGGCTGCAGATACGCGCGAAAAAGTGTTCCAACTCTGGGCGCTTTGTGGTCTCGTACCCAACCTGATATTGAAAAAGCGTAGCATGGCGGTTAGACCAAAGACATGGGTCGTCACTGCACGAGCCTGCAGAATCTGTAAATACAAGCGCACCGTTCATTGAGGAGGAGTTTCACGAGTCGAAGGTCCTCGCACTTGCTGGCACTAGGAAACAACACCACAGTTAGTGCGAGATGGACAATCTGCAGTTCCCACAAAGCCACCTTACCACTCGATAAGCAGTTGTTCCACCACGTCTTGGTCGACTTCGCTTCCACCGAGCAGTCCGAGCTTTCCACGCACAGGCAATAGCGCTTGAGTAGCATCGATAAATCGATCCTGCACAACATCATGGCCAATGGCACCATCGTTAGCTACAAAAACTTCATCCATCATGCGAGCTGATCCGAACATCCACCACAAACCTCTGCGTACGCTCGGAAACCTTCGCAAACGCGAGTATACACCTTTTCTAGCTCATCTGGTAATATCATAACGTTGACGCAAACGAGCGTCAGCCCTCGCGCAAAAAAAAGGAGATGTAAAGTCCAAAGCTTACCTGGGATAGGAGGAAAGCTAAACTGATACAAGGTAAGGCCTAGCTGACTCGCCAGGCAGCCAATGTCAACGTCAGGTTCCGACATTAGTGGTTCCGCTACCGGCGTATCGCTCGGTGACACGCATGACATAATACTCTGTACAAAATGACTGTGAGAAATATCGTCGGTGTCGGTGCATAAACTAACACGATCACGTACGTAGCGGAGCACGTTAGCAAGTGGAGAAAGACAAGCTTTCGGCACCTCATTCACATCCGAGCTCGTCGATGGAAAGATGGCAGTCCAGTTTTGAAGAAGCTCTTCTCCCAGCTTAACCGTATCCTGACCTGCAAAGCGCAGTCTCCAGAAAAGCTGAGTTGCGTCGCAAAGAGTCGGTACTGCATGGGGGCCGCCTTTGGGTTGACGAGGGAAAATATTAACTTCCAGCATCTTGTCGACGCGGTCATAATGACCTAGGTCCAGCATGTACAACGCCCACTGATAGTACAAGCGACGCTCAAGTGGTCCACCGTTGTCGAATTGTTCCTTAAATTGATTTGCGTAACTTGCGCCGTGATTGGCATTGCCCCGTGCTTCTAACGCATGCAGCATAGTGTGCACTTCAACAACGGCCACATAATAACGAACAGCATCAGCAAGACACACGCAACGGTTCAGCCACGTTTCACCCACTTACATGCCCACCGATCATTGCCACTCATGGACAGCGCCTTTTCGGCTAAAGCTTCTGCTGCATCCAGCCGTCCAGCAGCTTGCATTCCATACGCTTGCATCCCCAGCAAATGGCTATATCCAGCATCACTCGGAGACCAGGACGTCAAACGACGCGTCACTGTGGCCAGGAGATTCTTATAGTCACTACAACGCAGACAACCAGCAGCAGCTTCCGCTAGTTAAGCCAGAGCACCACGACCTTCCTTTTCAGCTTTTCCAGACTCACCCGAGCAATCGATAGACATCATAGCAGCAGCGCAGTGCCAGAAGGTCCGAGTAGTCGTGCAATAAGATGGTTTCATACAGTGCAGCTGCCTCGTAGTACCGACCATGGACCACCGCGTCCAGTGCTTTTACATGTAATTTCTCGGCCGTTGTCGTCTCTTCTGCACTTGTATAGAGAGCTTTTGTCAGCTCTTGTTCCGCCCATTTCTAACCTCGATCTGGTCAGCTCACCTTGCTTAGAAATGGCAGTAGCTGCTTGAAGACTGGCTACAGCATCCAGAGCGTCTTGATGCATGAGTGGAGCGAGACATTGACCAGCGCCTACCAGCACATGACCCATCAGAAAAGGCACGTCATTGGCCAGCACTTTCTGCAGCATGAACTTCGGATGCGAATTCATGCTCACGTACTGAATTACGGTAACACCATGACAATTTTAGAAACGTTAGAAATGACTTAGTACACTCAGGAAGAGAGCGAGCGAGCGACTCACGTCCAGTAACGCCACGTTGTAGGCCTGCTGCTTGCTCGTGCTGCGACTCAATGACGAGTCACGTGCGCCCTCGAACTCGCCAATGCCAAAGATAGAGCCCAGTAGCGACATGGAGCACGTCGAGCGCGCGCGCAGCAGCGCAACCCCTTGACGACGGAGCATCCAGGATTGATATAAAGTCTCACAGGAAATGGATTCGTGTGTGCGCCACATAGAATCGACTTGCGTCATGCAACGTCGACACGGTCGATGACGAACAGAGTAGGCGGTACAAAAAAGCAAGCGCGTCCGTCACATGGCATTTTCACTTTATTTATCAAGTTGTATTTTTGCTACGATACAGCCCGTGGCACATCTACTCGACGCTACTTTTGACAAAGTCCAAAGTCTCAGCTGGACAACATCTATATACGTACTTACATGTAGCTACAGATAGATGGTCACATCATGTGCATGGTGGACCACGAGTGCATGGCTGGATCGCCACATTGAGACAAGTGGCTTTTCATTCTTGAGGCCGAGCTTCCGACAGGAACTTCGGACGACATGGTTTCCAAGAGACCATCCCACGGAGCGACTTGAGCAGCCCCGCTACTACTAACGTGGTAAGCAGCATCACCTGGTCGTGGATATCCTCCTCCAGTTGCAACAAAGCCCGTCCGCTGATCCCTTACAGTCGTTTCATCCGGACCCGCAAGTCCCGTGACCAACTGCTGATCTTGTTGTCGCGACCGCAGCCACCCATTGGCGTACCCAATTGACGTCTCTTTGTCCGTCCTGTCTTCTGGATATGGCGAACAAATAGAGGATGGACGGCCAAATGGCTCGGATTGATACCCTTGCTGCTGCTGTTGTTGCTGGTGGTTGTATTCGTATGAGGAGACGGATGTCGGACGAGGGGAGATACGTCCATACTGAAGACACGCCGAGGATTGGTCCATTGTTAATCCAAAGCGACCGCCGTCGCTGTCCACTTCAGGCGTGCGTTTTTTCTTCACGGGTCGCTCGAGTTGTTGCACCAGTGCTGGTATGCACACTCCTCTGTCCTGCTGCATGTGTCCAAGCACGGAAGATGCGTACACTGCAGCACTGGGGGTGTTCCACGACGTAGGCACAGTGTGCATGTCGTTCGATGTTGCTGCAAGAACAGGCGGCATGGGCGTCATCCCTGTACTGCCACGAGACAAATGCTGAGGGTGCCACGACAGCAGCTCGTCGTACTGTCCATTGCGAAGGAGCTGCATGGCGCGCTTGCGCTTCTTGGCGTCCGAGACGTCCAGCCCCATCACAGGCTGCCCTACAAGCACGGCAAACCGCAGCAAGTTGCTCACCCAGAACTGCTGCACCGCGACGCGGAGACACTGCGTTTCGACCAACGCGCCGTCGTTCGTGTTGTTCTCGCGCTGGAACTGGTCAATGAGCTCCTGTCGAAAAGCTTGCTCCAGTTGCGACAGCTCCCGTTGTCGCTGGACGTGATCCGTCGGGTCAAACTGCAGCGCCTTCTTCCCCTTAGTAGGCTGGACGACCCTGAAAGTCCGTTTTCCCAAGGCATTCTTCTGGAACTTCTTGGACAAGCGCATCGTCGAGCAGTTGAGCATTTTCGCCAGCACCAAGCGAATGGGCGTCCCATGTGCCAGTGGAAGCGCCTGCCGGTCAAACTCACGCAGGACGACGTCAATGAAGTTTTCTTCCTGACGAGTCCACTTGCCACTGCGGGGCTCGGGTCGAGCCATCATATCGATACTCGGTGAGATCGCCACTTGATCCAGTGGCGCCGCACAAACCGGACAGACGTGAAGGGGCCAAACGTGGACGCACCGCGAGTGGAAAGTGTGGCGACAGTCCGGAGCGACGAGGATCGGGTCCGGGTACCGACAGACGTCGCACACTTCTTCCATAACCACGAGTGGTTTCGAACGAGCTTTGATCGTGAGGGCTGGAGAGCGGTAATCGGAAGGCTCTTGATGGTGGTGATGGTGACGCTGATGAGGGTGGTAAGCTGCACTGGGTTTGTGCTGCTCCAGAGCGTACGAGAGGTGGGAGATCGAGACGGGCGGGGAGCTCGGCTCGTAGTACGACTGCTGCGACGTGTGTTTCAATGCTGGTGACAACGGGTGGTAGAATGGGGTTGACGCCCCGAGCGTGTTTACAGGCGAAGGGCGATCGCGGTCAGCGTCACCTCGGAACTGCTGCTGCTGCTGTTGGCTGTACGGGGTACTGCTGTATTCAGGGCAGTCATATGGAGGCTGCAGGCTCCCGCTACTTGGCCGCATTCTAGAGTCGATCAAGACCGGGTGATAGTCAGATGCTCGTACGTCACAAATCATCAAAGCCGAGCGACAGCGCCTTTACCCGTATCAGCAGAGCTCACGATAGTCTCTTGAGCTGGAGCTGGAGCTGGCAAAGGGCTATTGATTGACTAGCAATGCACGAATTCGAGACTGAAGCCCTCACGGTCCTGACTGGACGCACGAATGTACGACCAACGCGAGTTTGCGGTCGCTCGCTGGGTGCTGTAGCTCGGAAATGCCGGTCGAGGCTGAACGAGAGACTGAATGAAATGGCCCAAAAGGTCGGGAGGAGCCCCTCGCTTTTGTCGTGTCTCTCCCCTTCTGGCGTTCGTGCTCGGCAATGGAGTTTCCGGTGCCGTGCGGGGTAAGGAGAAGCCGCCCAATTGCGCAGGCGATTTGCTCGTGCTGCCGATTGTGTAGTTGCAGCAGCACATTAGACACGTTCCGTACAGGACCGACCGATCGATCGATCGACCAACCGACGTGCTGGACGGCTCGTTGTTGTAGCTCTTTTGCGGGCGTGGCTCGGTTTCTGCCCCGTTTCACAGCGCCACCGGCTGGTGCAAGAGTGGCTGTCTTTGCGGAAGCAGACTGTACACGCGGCGTTCACTCGAGACTGCAAGGCTCTCGTTAGGTGATTGGGATATCGATCGATCGAACTTTGGCTGCTGATGCTACGCTGGACGAAGTCGTGGCAGCGGCACGTGCTTGCTGTATGGAGATGCTGCAACTCGAGAGGAGCGTTCGCAACCAATTGGCAGCAGACGGTCGAGCGTGTCAATCCTCGTTGGGAAGAAACAGCGGTGCATTGAGAGCAAGAGTAGGATCATCAACCCCCTGGCAGGCACGTACTTCAAGCTCGTGAGTCAATTTCGGCGATGCGATGCTCAGGTCAAGAGCAGCGCGACAAGTGGATAGCCTACGTTATGAGAGCCTATAAATCACTCGACGAGCTCTCGACAACCGCAGCTCATCACGAAAAATCCAACTATCAAGACGAAGATATTGCACGTGACTAGCATACAACTGAGTGTGACTCCAATATGGTCCAGAGGGTCTTCTTGTGTCTGCCCTGCCCGTGTATGTTGTACATTAAGCACTAAAGTATATCCACGGTACTGGGCTGCGATGTACTTACACTATCCGATACTGACCTTTTGCAGAAACTGGACGCACTAATGATCGCCCTCCAGCCTATGATGGCGGGACAGTCTGATTTGCAATACAAGTTGCAAATATATTGAAGCCGTAAAAACAGGGACGTGCATAGAGTGCGTCCTGGTCGACCAAAACAGCAGCGAGCGTTCCAGTTAAATGAAGGACGAACTGGATACAGTGGCAATGCGCAATGCACCGACCGGCACACAGATCAGCGCTCTGGAACTCTACTACTTACCAAGTAATGGAAGAACAGCGCCCAGTGACACCGGCCGGTCGTTCAGTGCAATGTCGTTGTTCAATCTGCTGAATGCGCCATCAATCGCGGCAGCTCCGTTGCTAACAGGAAGACGAGGCACGCTCGCTCCATGCAAAGCACGACCGCTACTTTTGTGTGGGCAGACTTTGCGTCCCATCACTAAACGGTGCATCACCAATACGTAGGGCTTCGCCAGGGATTTAATTTGGTCCACTTGGTCGCTCAGTTGAATCGCCGAGCAGGCTTTGCTACATCCGCCTTGTCTTTATCGAGCAACGCAGCACTCTAAGCATTTGCCGGACTTTTTATCGACACATTGTTCAGTGAGGATGTCAGTCAGCTTTATTGACTCTACAGAGTAGTCGAGCCATCCTGCGATCGCCAGTTGTTTGTAGATTGGGCAAAGAAGCTGGTACCCGTCCGGCATTCGTGTCTATTAGCATAGTCGCCGCTCGATTTCTGAGCTGATTGGGCTATGTCGTCCCTGGCGACTTACGCGCATTGGCGTTCAACAATCGGTCGGTACTTGAGCAGATTAATTGAGCTGGCTGTTTGAGCAGCAGCTTTTTTGAGAGGATGCGCAATCGCTGAGGAAGAGACTGATGTATGGTAAAGCGGACCATCCGATAGCTACGAGCAGCACTGAAAGGCGAGCCTCATATGGTGTAGCAAGGATCGGTATACGTCTTGTTTGTCATCGGCTTTCAATATAGACGCTCAACTGCTTACAATCCACGACAGGAGCAAATTACACGAGCAGAGATGGACGTGACAAACCGATGTCAGTTGACTCAGTCAAACGATCTGGTCAGTTATCCAAAGTGACTTACAGTGACAATTGACATCAATGCCGCCTTGATATCGAATGCAATGGCCAGCCTCTCCAGTTTTCGTAGCTCGCCACAGTCTTTTGCGGAGATCGATGAGGAACGAGAACTTTGTTAATCGGCACTGTCAAGCATCACGTCGAAACGACATGGGATGATGACGACAAGGTTGACTTTATAACTGCAACTGGGCCTTTATCGTGGCCGATGCGCTTGTCAAAAAGGCTGGTGTTGCACCCAGGAGTAAGGAGAATCATCCTTCTCGAGATGAAGTTGCGGTCGTGATGATGGTGGCGGATGGTGGCTAGTACAGCCGTGTTTTACAGCGCGAGCCGCTCTTGATATACAACAGCACGTTTCGGTATACCATAAATTGCAACTTGAGACGCAATCGGTCATAACATCGCCAGATCGTCAAACTTCCAGGACACATGATAGTGCGTTGTTCCCCAGTATCCAAAATCCCTCAACAAATGCTTGCCGTAAAAAGCGGACAGCTTGGCATTTGTTTGCCGGACTTCCACATTTCTTGGAGCAGCTGTCGAAGATGCAGCAACCGGATGTTGCGACCAGGGTCGGCGGTCGACTACCACGGAGCGCTAAAAATTAAGCGTCGTGATTAGTGTAATCGTTCCGTAAATCGGTCTGGTCACCTAAGGTCGCTTATAGGCTTTTCGGTCCGCCTCGTCGACTTATTGCGACAATGCATTTGATTGCAGGAGCTCTGTCATGGGCTCTGCTGCTGTTGCCGTAACGTCGTGTGGTCGCTATTATCATCTTGACGTTCACGTACTACAGCACTTGGCTCACCGGTCGATGTCGAGCTCGTACCAATTACTGAACTTTCGGCTGTGCTTTTTGGAAAGTGGTGTCCACGAACACGAATTTGTGAGCACGGCTGCCCGTCTGGTGCGTATTACAATGCTTAGCTAGTCGATATATTTGCATTTATATTCAGATATAACATCGATGACAAAGTGTTCTCACCTCCAAAGCCAATGCACTAATAGGAATTTGGATTGATGCTAGAGTAAACGTTGCTTGGGAAAGGAGTCGACAGCTTGTGTCATTAAGTAGTTATATGAGCAGAGAAGGAGGAACCGAGTGAGGTTCGATACCGTTAGTCTGGGCGGAGTGCTTAACTTCAGTTTAATTAGGCACAATTTACGTCAATGTGTAGCGATGTCTCAGGAACGGTTTAAGGTTTGATATCAAACAGTAGATTATCATGTCCACTTGTGTTGGCGCTAACGAGCTTGGTAGAATCACAGGATCCACAGCGTGAGACTTAAGTAGGCATTGAAGCGAACTAGATGAACGTAGGATTTATGGTTGGAATCTCTCCAGCTTTCTCGAGAGACCAACAGTTTGTGGCTTATGCGTGACAGCGAGCATTGATGTGATCTACAGAATCATTTGTTGTTGCTTGATACGCCACGCTGCTACAACGCTGCGAATCAGAATACAAATCTTGAGTGACTGCGTCATACAGCCGTGACGGATCCGACACATACGTCGTCACGCATTTTTACTTGCACCAATGCTGTCCTGCACAATTTGGCAGCACTTCTTGATACGAATGCTGTGCTCGAACAGCAACGATACGTTGGACTCCGAAGCGACGAAGATTGACTTTATCCAAGAGGAAGAAAATGGTTTGGGGTCTTGCGCCTAGTGGGCCATTGAAACACGATCGTACATCGCACTGCTATTGCTAACACGCGATTCAAGTTGGGTCAGGGTAGATGAAGGGCGACCAGCATCGGTTCGTATCTTCTGTGAAGTCCCTTTGGAATGTCTCTTGATATGGATACAAGGGACTCGAACAAAGTTCGTGAAGTGGGTTCCTTGTCATCTTCATCAAATATACCCACGGACAAGCTTACTATGCTCGCTAGACCTTGGTATATGGGATGTGTGGGCAAACACGAGGTATGCAGGCATTGCGCAGAGTGACGTGAACGAACTACAAGCTGAAATATTGACGATACCGCGGCAGGCGTATCACTATCCCTGCAACATACCGAGTTTGTTTTGAGCGATGCGGTTCGTTGTGCAAGAGACTTACCGAAGATGCGCAGCTTCAGAATACGCTTTCCGTATAGACTTTCATACGCGCTTGAGAATTGAATACCTCAATGTGTTACGCGAGAGACAAGCGAGCAACTCCGAATTGGCCGCGCAAGGATATGTTATCCCTTTTGAAAATACATTATGAAGTTGACACATACGTGGAACTGGCACAAAAAGTCACGATGGCGAGCCGCTAGCACACTTCAGCGAAAGAAGTCCTGACTTCCACCAACACACGCATCTCGACCACAGCGCGTGTTGCTAAATTTCTTGTCGGTTGATCTGTCCGTAGAAGCCGATTTGAATATCAAAACGCGTATTGCCGCCTCTCAAGCCGGGTAAAGAGCGCGCGCCATCGTTAACGATACATAATACAGCGGTCTCCATAGTAACTTTGTTGCCGGGTGACAGGATATAGTAGGTCGTACGCGCACTAAATATACCTCTCCTTCTCACCAACTCAAATCGGGTAAGGGGAAACACTAATGCAGCGGGTTATTGGCCATTACACTCTTGTAATACTCATATACCGCATCCATCTCATGCCCATCCATATCCTCGGTGATGAGTCCGGCAGGCAAAATATCTGGTGTCTCGTTCTTCCAACGTACGACGAGAGCTGCCTCAACATCTTTGGCAAATGCGAACAACTTCTGACATTTTAGTACCATCAGTATGAGTTCCCCGTCGCCGACTCGACTTTGCAGATGCGTAAACAGTTTCAATCTTCCAGAGGAATCCAACGCTGAATAATACTGATTCAGAGCATCCATATTTTCGTACGTATAGCCCATCGAGCTCAGGTTGGACTGTATCCCTCGGTTAAGCCACCTCGCCAGCATCGCTTCTTGCAACTGCTCTGCTTTTAACCTAATGGCAGGACTCATCCTTGCGGACAACAAAACTGGCGCAAGTTTAGCAGCGCCACCAAAGGCTATCAACAATGGATCCACCAGGTTGTCCACGTCGTACGTCATCGCCAGGATGTATTTCAAAACGTCCACTGACGATTTTCCTTCGCCTATCCTTTTCTTAACGAAAGGCTTAGTGACGCCAGGAAGCAGCTTTGTTTGCTTCAGTATCATCATCGCGAGATTACCGTCACCGAATTTTGTTCTCAGATACGTAAACATATCGATATCGGCATTATTCTCTTTGTTCAATAAAGCAACGTATTGTTCCAGAGTATCCATGTTTTCGTATTTGAATTCCCTCGTCTGGAACATTCCAAGAGAGTGAAAAACTTCATCGACGGGTTTTTTAGCGTTCAGCCATCCCATCAACATCGCTTTCTGCATAATTTTTGCGTTTGCCTGGCTTCCAGCACGCTTTTTTGCGATCGATAAGAGAGGAGCGAGTCTGGCGTCGCCGCCAAACGCTATCGCCAACGGATCCAGCAAAACGACACTGTCATCTGCCATCGACAGAAATTTGCACACGAGATCCGCGGCTGTCTTTCCTCGGCCGATCCATTGCTTAACAAAGCTTCGTAAATGTGCTGCCGCGTGTTGGGACGTCAGGACCCCCTTTTGTAGCACCAGTGCAAAGTTTTCGTCGCCGAGTTTCTTTCTTAAGAAATTGTCCAGATCCTCAGTGGCTCCATATCTCTTGTTATACATTGCAATATATCGGTCCAGGGTATCCACGTTCTCGTAGGTGTACCCTTCATTCATCAGTTTCTCAGAAAGTCCGAGAAGATCGTAAACGTCGTCAATGGACTTGTTGTTGTTCAGCCAGATCTCTAGCATCGCTGTCTGCAATTCGTTGGCCCACTGACCGGCGATTTGACTCTTCTTTGCGATCGACACAATTGGTGCAAATTTGGCCGCGCCGCCAGAGTTCTCCATCAACGAAATGAGAAAATCGCTTTTTTTGAACCTCTTCCACCAATCGTGCCCCTCAATGATACGTTCCAGTTCGGCAACATCTAACCACTTCTGTGCTGTCTCCTGTGTCTTCACTATGTGAATCTCGTTCATTGGGCTGTTGTGCTCAGTGAAGATCGCTCGCATAAGATGCTTTTTACCGACCTTAGAGGCTCGCGCCTGATCAATTATCAATTCATGTCCAGCTACCTCACTTGTAGGTGGTGAAATCACAATCTTCGAGCTCTCAGCCTTTAGCTCCACGGCAAATGGCTCTAAGAAATAATGATCAAGACCTTGCAATCGTTCCCAGCCTTGTTCCGTAAGCTTGTGCTCGTAGTGGTCGACATGTATCAGTTCCATGGCTTTTTTAAGAGTTGATTGGTCCATGTCGGCTATTCTCCCAGACACTAATGAGGCCACGTGAGGCAGCGCCCTCTCCTCCCCATTCGTAGTATTACGTACACGCGCGACACCATTGACCAGGACGCTGTTGATGTCACGGACACCGGAGCGTACACTTGTCGAGGCATTGACCTTCATCTTGTTAAAGTCGGCATTGCTGGACGAAGTGTTGTTTTGCCTTTCGTTAGGGTCAGCGCTACTGGTAAGGACATCAATTTCGGTCTTGCTGAGGTCGGCTTTGCTACTAATGGCATTGACTTTGGTCTTGTTAAAGTCAGCACTACTCGTAAGGTTCCTGGAGTTGGCCTTGTTCAGGTCAGCCGAATTCGAGGCGCACGTCAGTGGTACAGCAGTGCTCAGGAGAACAAGAGGACGAAGGCGCATCTCTTAGATGGTGCACGGTCGATTCCACAATACCAAGCGATAATCGTAAATACGAAAAGTGACACGCGTCGCAGTGCGATGAATGACTTCGGTTAAGAACGAGATACCAAATTGGACACCTACAGTGCTAAACGTAGTTGCACTAGTGCAGTAGACGTAGGAGGTAAAAGTGCAATGTCTTGAATGTTAAGAACCAATTCCTTCAACACTACGATATGTACGACCAGAACTACAACTTGACCAGGTCTAGTTGCATATGGTCTCCGCCTCTCCCCGTCCCACGTGCCATACTACCACATGACGTCTGTCTTTCTTGGTATCATGTGTGTCTTGTCACATGGCGCTCGTCTTTCTTATCTCATCTGTCAATGTAACACATGATCGATGTAACGGGGTGAGCCTGTCACATGTAATTAAAGTTTTGACCGTTCAACACCACTCCCGGCGAGGTTCGGTATTCGGCAAGGATGTCATCTTGCTCCTCTCTTCTTTTTGCTGGTCGTGGAGATTTTGGGACAGGCACTACATCAGGATCCACAGTTCACGAGATAATTAGCGCCAGGTCGCCCGGGAATGACTCACCTCTTTATGGCGTTTGTCATCGACTCAACTCTACTCCTATAAAGATATGAGCAAATTCCCCATGCTCTATCCATCATTTATGCCTTTGTACATTATCTGGACTCCATGTCCTACCGGCCAAGAGCTAATTAATCTTTTGAGCCGACAAATCACGGTTAAACAGTTTAAGGAAATTGCTGTAGTTCTTCTTGAACAACGACAATGTATTTGGGCTACGAGATCCGGACAGGGAAAATCGACTACAAGAATTGGGTATTACGCATCCAACGTGTCCATCGGCGGCTGCTTACAGCGACACGAGTAGCAACGAGTGTGTGAAACGGGGTGAATCGTTCCATAACAATTTATAAGAAATTGTTAATAGAATATAACTATAAGAGTTATATTCTCAGAATATTGTCATAAGGACAAATATTCTATAGCACTTACGAGTAGTTCCTAATTGGTTGATATAGGCCATTATATTAACCAACGAAGACGCGCCACGACAGACGCACGCAATGAGTGGTGAGCAGATAGTTGATATGTACATTTGTATTCAGACATAGTTAGATGAAGATAAATAGTGATTTATTGCAGACATTAACTATTATAAATACAGTTCTACTTTTTACTCTAACCGAGTACTCGCTTCTTCTTACCGTCTTCCTCTGCACGTACGAGTGTACGTGAAGTTACGAGGCACCGCCTTATTCTGTCATCAGAATAAGTAGCTTGTACTGTCACCAGTACAAGCTTCAGGGTGCCCCGTTACACCTGGTAGCACTTCGTAGTCCGTCCAAGGACCACGTTCACATCTAACATGAATATGTTAGATGATGAAGATGACCAAAGCTTTCACGCTACGCGTGACGGCTACTCCCATTTGAGCAATGTCGAATGGGATGCGGTTGAACGGATGGGTTCAACCATGGGCATCCATGCTGTTAGCGTCATGATAGAGGCTCTCAATAGAGATGCCCAACATGCTACTATCGCCAAGTTCATTCAAAATGAACTTGACGCTGAACGCGAGAAAGTAGCCTTGCTTCACCAACAAGGTTCTCAACAAGCAGAGTTGCTGAGAGAACAAGGTGCTCAACAGTTTGAACTGTTGAGACAGCAGCAGGCTGCTGCTGCTGGATCGATGCACTCGCGTCGACCCGAAACCTTGAAGATTGACATCTCCAAGTATAGTGGAGTCGAAGAGGACTCCCCCTTGAGATGGTTCGTCGAATTGGATGACGCCACAAGGGCGCGTCGCATCGACGACGGGGAATATGCAAGTTGCATTTGCCTAGTCAAATCTGGCAGGACGTGCCAAGACTTGGGCACTGGGGCTCAAGTTGCACGACCCATATGCGTTTGGATCGTTAGAAGTCTTCAAGTCGCGGCTCAGACAAACGTTTGAGCCGCCTAGAGCTGAGTTCAGGGCTCGAACCGAACTCTTGAAGCTCAAGCAGGGTAAGCGTGATGTGCACGCTTACGCTCAACATATACGACATCTCACGAGTTGTATAAGTTCCAATCCGGTGGATGAACACACGTTGGTTTCGGTGTTCATGCAGGGTCTTGCGGATGGTCCCGTCAAGACTCACCTGTTCCGGCTTGAACTAGATTCACTAGAACAAGCCATTTCCATTGCGGAGCAGGAAGACTTCAGTCTGAGACAGGCTCGCGCCAGCTCGACATCATATCGCCAACCGAGACGATATGACAACGGAGGTCCAGAGCCGATGGAACTCTGTTATGTAGAGAGCGAGAAGGCTCGCTCTACAGGCTACAAGAAGTTGCAGAGATGCAACAGATGTCAGAAGACAGGACACTACGCTTATGAGTGTAGTGCCCCTCGTCCAGTGTCTCGCGACACTGGGCGTAGTGACCGTCCCCCTATGAGAAAGGGGCAGGGACGCGGGTCCGCTGTTGGTGCAAAGACGCAACAACGGTATGGACCGTCAAAAAACAGACAGGATCAGTAGGTGCGGAGCACCCTACTGGTCCAGCAACGTCAAGAGAATTTGGAGGCCTCTTGATGAAGGTTGCTCCCAACGCACAAACGTTGTGCGTTGCTGCTCTAGGTAATGAGGACTCACTCATTACCTTGAAACTCGAAGTGACAAATAAGTTGTCCCTTCGAGCTCTAGTCGATTGTGGGGCGTCCAACAATTTTGTGCGACGCCAATCGCTAGAAGATGGTCACTTCAATTTCAGTGAATGTGACACACCTCCTACGAGGATGACGGTACGTCTTGCGACAGGCGCATCCGTAACCGTCATGAAGCGTATAGTGAAGATCCACTATACGCTAGAAGATACCCAATATGACGATGACTTTATCGTATTGGATTTGGATGACAAATTTGATGTCATCCTTGGAATACCGTGGCTCAGAAGGTACGAACCACGGGTAAACTGGCAACATCGAACAGTAACGACGCCTGCCGCTTGTTCATCAGATGGCCATCTGATGAACGTTCTGGAGCGTCCACAAGCGTGTGGATGTACTACGAGTGAGTGCGATGGCCTCACTTGTGGTACGGTCGTTAGTACGACTGCACAAAACCTTAGTGTACCAAACGGTTACACTTCGGAGCAAAGTTCCGGCGGCTGTGAGGAAACACAGGCTGCGCCGAAGGTCCACCACTCGAATAAGTCGAGTGGACCGGGACAAAGATGTATCCCTAGCGGGGAACATCCAGAAGAGAGACAATCGATCGCTCAGGTTAAGCGAAACGATAATCCTGGATCGACTGGAGAGTCTTTCGTAGAGGATCTCGCTGTGGTTGCACAACCACAACTAGAGGATGTAAAGGGAATAAGGTCCGATGTTACAGATACGGCGGAATAAGTTCCCCGAAACCCGAGGGAATAAGTCCCCGGGAAGCCGAAGGAATAAGTACTTCGAAGCCTGAGGGAATAAGTCCCCAGGAAATGACAGAGACATTGAATGTCATAGTCAATAACGGATCAAGTGTAGGCGCTTATACACTTGATCTGATTGCGCCTCCGAAGTTAACTTCGGAGATCACTCAGTTGCCAACGCTCGAGCATAAAAGGTTCTTGCGTGATCTGCGTAGTGGCAAAGTCAAGCAGATCTGCATACTCGTCGCTGACGACGAGTGTGTAGCCGACATAAGGTCAGCAACAGTGTTCAATGAGAACGAGAGAGGTCTCAGTAGTTCATCTATGGACGAGAGTGTCCTAGATGAAAAGACACGAGTTGAGCGATATGACTCCCAATCGTGGGAATCGCTCAAGACAAATCCTCTCTATGAAGATTTGGTTGAATTCAAGGATGTATTCCCTGAAACTGTTCCGTGCGAATTACCGAAGGATATAGGTATTCGACACGAGGTCGAGCTTAAACCAGGCTCGAAGTACTGTGTCATGAAGCAGTGGCCAGTGCCTCGTGAACAAGTACTTGCGATCGACAAGTTCTTTGCCGATCGTTTAGCTGCGGGCCATGTGAGGGAATCAACTTCCCCACATAGCTCTCCGATCTTCTGTGTGTGAAAAGCAACAGGAGGGTGGCGGATAGTGCACGCATTCAATAAGTTGAATGCTGCAACGGTACCGGCTCAGACGCCGATACCAAGGAAGGACGTAATCATTGATGGTATGTCAAAGAGTACCATCTTTTCCTCCATGGATTTGATGGATGGCTTCTATCAAATCCTTATGCGAGAACGGGATATACCCTATACCGCAGTTAGCACGCCTAGCGGCATGCTCTGGGAATGGCTAGTAATGCCACAAGGGCTAAGTAATGCCCCTGCCACGTTCAACAGATGTGTATCACATCTGTTGAGACCAATACGAGAATTCGCGCCGAGTTATTTCGATGACGTATTCATCCATAGTCGGGATATGGATGGAAAGTCGGACGTTGAGGTTCACAGGCACCACGTCCGACAGGTTCTTACAATTATGCGAAAGCATCAATTGTATGCAAACCTCAAGAAGTTTATATTTGCAGCAAGCGAAATACCACTTCTTGGGTGCATCGTTGGTAAGAACGGTGTACGTCCTGATCCCGAAAAGATCAAGGCGATCACCGACTGGCCTGTGCCAGTCGACGTCAAAGGTCTTCGAAAATTCCTTGGGCTAGCGGCGTATTTGCATAAGTATTCACGCAATTACGCCGAGATGACTGTGCACCTCTCTCGTTTGTTGAAAAAGAACGAGAGGTGGTTATGGAACGCTGAATGTCAGCGCTCCTTTGAGGGTATCAAGCAGAGCTTGATACAATCCCCAGTCCTAGCGATTGCCGATCAGGACAGGCCATTTCATGTGGTCTGTGATGCCAGCGATTTCGCAATCGGCTGTGCATTAATGCAGTACGATCTTGAAGGCGTTGAACGCGTCGTCTGCTATCAGTCGCGTCAGCTGCAACCAGCTGAGCGGAACTATCTAGTGCATAACAAGGAACTCCTAGCCAT